TTTCTCTTGGGAAAGTTTTTAAGTAACAAAGATTTCAAAGTATTAAAATAAGTAAAAGTTGAGTTAATAGTGTTGTCATAAACCAAACTGAGTCAGATGTACAAACATCCATCCATGCATAGAAGTGATTTTACTTACCTGATCGGGTCTGAAGTTGAGCTTAGTGCTGGAGAACTATTTTCTATGATTGACTTTGACCCAGTTTTATTTTCAGCTATGTGTCTTTCATAGAAGGGCCATGAAAATAGGATATTGATAATAGTAGGAGGTGTAAGGGGTTGTTGGTTTGGTCTTTTTCAACATAGGAGTTGCTGAGGTTTTTTGAATTAATATTGGACTTAGATTGTAACCTTTTAGATTTTGCATTGAGCTCTGTGTCATATAACTTCCTAAAAGTAACACTTAAACATTAAATTTTAGCATGCTCTTCATGTTAATATGGCAGAGTTTCGTAAACTGAATTAAAATTATTGATGTACTGGACTCTTAACCAAGGGAAAGAATCGACACTATCTTTCAAGGTATTTTAAAGGTAAAAGTTTATTCTAAGACAATTTGCCCATTGAGGTTATCCAGTTTCTGACTTGCAATATGCTTTTTTGGGGGGATGAATTGGAGGAAAAGCAGATGCTAGAATTCTAATTTAAGTAAAAATATAGCAGTCTTTGTTTATAGTGTAAAATTCTTTATATTTTGTACAAAAACTAATTCTTTTGGTAGAATGAATCATTTAGTGTTTGGTTTTGGACTCTGAGTCAAAGATTTTTTCCTTTAAATGCTTGTCTCAGTTTTAATGTGGTCTTTTGTACTTCACAAGAAATGAATTAAAAGGTTCAGTTGCATAAAGTGGGGTTTATCCTAGTGGACTGGAAATAAAGTATAAACTTTATTTTGCCTTTTTTTTATTTGAACCATTTTGAGATATTAGAGGTTGTAGTCTGGTAATAAAGGAGTAGCTTATATTGGACTAATTCTTTTGCCAACAATTATAAACTCTGAATAAAATATAAAAATGATTGGAAGACTCTAGAGGCAACAACTGCACAAACTAATACACTTAAAGAGATTCACATTTACTGCTTTTACCTGGAAGAAAATTTCTAGTTTGTGCTGTGTGCTTGGAAGTAGAATTCAAGCATAGTATGATGGTCTAGCTCCACTGAGGAGTCATTAGGGGCTTCTAGAAGAGTTGGAGATTAGGAAGGAAGTCTTGGAAAGTAGAGTGCTTCACATAAATAAGCCCCCCAATTTGCCTACAAATTCCTTTCAAATTGAACCTGTGCAGTGTGATATTCAGAGGAACCCAGGAGAAAGCAGTAGTTGAAGTCTAAGGAACTGAATAGAGGTGGCAACTGCTAGGGTCATACAGAGTTTGAAACTTAGATTCCAGAGCTTAAAATCAGCTTTCACAGCATCCAGGTTATCCATCAGTAATTTAAAAGAGAGCCAGAACAAAACACAACATTCTTTAGAAGAAAATGGGATCCAGTCTTCACAATATATCAAGCATAAAGTCACACTAAAAAATGACTAGGAACACGAAGAAAAATGACATGAACCATAATCAAAAGAAAATATAGAAGCAGATAATTCACATATGGGAATTAACAACATTATTTTAAAACATTTAAAATATGTTAAAGAATTTATAGGGAAAGGTGCGAGTTGAACTGATTTGGAATCTCAAGAAAGAAACAAACTAAAAACTAAACAAAGTCTGGCAATGAAAAAAAATCTGAAATGAAAAAATAGTATCTGAAATTACAAATTTCACTGGATGGACTTAACAGTAAACTGGACACTGCAGTCTGTATCATGTTGGAGGGCAGCCAACACAATTATCAATGTGAAACATAGAAAGAAAACAAAGTGGAGGTTTGAGACCTCTGGAACACAGTATCAGTCTGCAGGAGAAGAAAGGAAGACAGTGGGACAAAAATAAATATTTTAAACATTAATGCCTGAAAATTTCCCACTAATGTTGAAAGATACCAACTTAAAAATTTAAAAAGTTTGCCCTGGCTGGTGTAGCTCAGTGGATTGAGCACAGGCTGTGAAGCAAAGGGTCACCTGTTCAATTCCCAGTCAGGGCACATGCCTGAGTTGCAGGCCAGGTCCCCAGAGGAGGCACATGAGAGGCAACCACACATTGATGTTTCTCTCCCTCTTTTTCTCCCTTCCCTTCTCTCTAAAAGTAAATATTTAAATTTTTTTTAAATTTAAGAAGTTCAGTGATCCTAAGCAAAATAAATACAATGACGATCACATCTGGTTGTATCATATTGCAAAAAAAAATTAAAAGCAGCTAGGGAAGGGACATGACATTACATTCAAATAAATAGAGTGATGGCTAACTTCATCAGAAATGAATACAGGAAATGATGGAATGACATTTTTAAAGCATAAAAATTAACCTAAAATTTCATATTTTTAAAGTATGGAGGCAAATAAAAGCTGTTTCTGATAAATGAAAACTAAGAATATGTTGCTACCAATCTGACCTTAAATCAGACCTTTAAATCTACCTTTAAAAATGTATCAGCTGATAGAAAATGATCCTCAGAGGGAACTTGCATCTTTAGGAAGAAATTTAGAACTTTGGAAGTGATCTGTGTCAGTAAATATTAAAGATGTTTTTTTCTTAATTTCTCTAAATATCCATGGGCTTTTAAAAAAGTACAGGGGGAGGGCAGTATAAGGTGAGTAAATGGTAATGGAAAGATATATGATAAAGATTAAATTTAAAAAAACTTAAACCAGTACAGTGTGGTATTTATATGTAGATATAAAAGAAAATAAAGTAGCAGAAAGGACATGAACAGACAGTAAATGGGATTATATTGGAATATTGAGTATATATTGAAATATACACAAAGTGATATGCTATTAAGGTAAGATAAGACTGATTAAGGATGCCTATTGTAATCTCAAAGTCCAGAAGAAACCAAGCACCTGCCTCTTAGAGTCCTCCCAGTGGAATTAGAGAGTGTGCACTTAATTCCTCCAGTGTCAGTGTATGACCGTCTGCGAAAGGGTTAGGCCTGTATTAGGCAACGGAGAACAGCTCTGTCAGGGAGTGGTGGCAAACTTCCCCGAAGTGCAAATAACCAGATGCCAGCCAAGGGCCAACCTTACAAGCAGGACTTTCAAAAGAATAGCAGTCTAGGCCTGCTATTTTAACTCTTTTCTTCACAGTGGTTCAAAATGGGCCCTGATGGTGGGATTCAGTGGATTGAGCGCAAGTCTATGAACTAATGGGTCACTGGTTTGATTCCCAGTGAGGGCACATGCCTGGGTTGCAGGCCAGGTCCCCAGTTGGGGGTGCAGGAAGGGCAACCACACATTGATGTTTCTCTCCTTCAATTTCTCACTTACCCTCTCTCTAAAAATAAATCTTTTAAAAAATGGTCACAGTGAATAATGGTCACCTTATTCACTAGGAGAGCAGAAGTGACCTGGCTGAAGAAAAAGCACACAAGCATAGAAAACCAGTGTCTGTGTGGGGGAAAGTGTCAGCAGAGAGGGCAGACTGGTTACATGCAGGACACCTCACCAGATAAGTCATTGTGCTTACCACAGTGGAGCCCCCTTTCTCACTGTCAGAGAAAGTAAGTATGAATCTGTGCGGTGGGTTTGGACTTGGGTTTAAGAGTAGGAATTCATGATTTAAGATATGTAAAAAGGGGAAATGTAGACGCACGTGAATGTGCATGTGTGTGCATGTGTGTCTACATGCATATATTCCCTAGTTGTCTCCATTGGGAGCAGTTACACCCCCCAAAACAATGTGCACACATAGCGCCTCTTTTTTTTAAATTTGCTTTTTTTAAATAACACCTATTATTTCCCTTCTAAATTCTTCAATGTCTTGGTCTGCTAAAGCTGCCATGTTTTTACATGGTTTTTAAAAGTAGCCCCTCCCATTTCAGTATCAAAATCTGAGTCCCACAAAATCACCATAGACTGGGTGGCTTAAACAAGAGAAGTTTACTTTCACTTAGAAGTGTGGCCAAATCCAAGAAACAATGCCTACTTGATTTCTGGTGACAGCTTGCACTGGCTTGCAAACAACCACCTTCTCACGTGGTGGCAAGACAGAAAGTACCCTGGTGTCTCTTCTTAGGGCACTAATCCCATCATCATGAAGGTCTCGTCTTCCTGACCTTATCTAACCTTAATTATCTCCCAAAGATCCCAGGTGTAAAGACAATGCCGTTGGGATGCCGGGCTTCAGCGTACGAATTTTAGAGGGATGCCAAAGTTCGTAACACCCACTAAAGGAACCAGGGCTCCTTGGTGAAACGGTCAATTCCAGGGTTGGGGCAGAGACTTACAATGGTGGGCAAAAGTAGATTTACAGTTGTGAGTTTGCAAAAACAAGAGTTCTTTCTTTCAAGAAAATAATTTTAGAGAGTTAAAAAAAACAAATTATGAACCCACTCTTCACTCACTGGTTGACTATTGCATGTGCCCTGATGGAGACTGAACCAGCAACCTTAGCATATGGTGACCATGCTCCAGCCAACTAAGCTACACAGCCAGGTAGTTGATTCTTTTATTTTTATATATTATTTTCCATACAAAGAACAGTAAATCTACTTTTGGAAACTCCTGTACAAAATGAATCCGGAATATCTTATGCCAGAAAAGAAAGTGCTCAAAGATTGGTGAGGATGAGTCATTGATTGTAATGCCTCCCACTGGGCAAAGCTGAACATCAAAATAAGTAATTATAGTAATGGGTTAGAACTCATCAGATGAAATAAATCATGAGGCAAGGTGGCTATGTAAATACGATGTATAGATTGAAGTGTGATGTAGATTGAAGTATTTACATAGTTTCAAAGTACATCCCCACAAAATACTAGAACGGGGGAGTTTTATAGTGAAAAAAACCTGTTAGATGCCACCTTTATCTAATGGAAGTTATCAATGGGACAAATTTCACATAATAGGGTCGATGAGAAAAATGCAGTATCACCTCCAATTCCTTGCCGCCTCAAAGTGGCAAGGTCATTAAAATCAACTAAAAATGTGCCAGACTGAAGGGATTAAGCAGAATGACAACTAAAAGCAACCTGTGACAACTTGTTACTTCCGACCTTAACCCTCGCACTCCGTTGAAAGGCTCCCAGTCACCCTAGCAGGTTCCAACGCTTGTAAGGAACGCAAGGACAGCCGGGAAAGGGGGCGAGATCCGGAAGCCAAGATACGCACTTCCGTTCCCAGGTCGCTTGCAGCCAATCGGCCTCTGTTGCTCCACCCCTTCCGTTCTAGGGAAAAGCCAGCTACTCAAGCGTTTTCCGGCAGGAGCTGTGCCGCTCCTTATCATGGTGAGTTGGCAGGGGCTTCAGGGTTTGTGTCACAGGTAATGTCTCTTAGTTTCTTACCCTGAAGCAGCCTTGAAATGCCTTAACTGTCCGGAGGAGGGGTCGTCGGAGGTGTGCTTGGGTCCCCAAGGGAGAAGCGGCTGGAGCCCGAAAGTTCTCCCCCAGAGCTCTGATTTCCCCCGCTCTTAAACCTTGTGCCTTTGCCGCCGGTGATCCCGGACCAGCTCCAGGCCAAGCTTTTAGCTTAGGGGAGTTCAGGGCTTCTCCCAGCCGAGATGCCTTCCTATAGACAGTCTTCGCCGGCATCAGTGGCTACAACACCAACAAAAGATGTGAAAACAAGTGCACAGCAGCAACGACCGTCATAGTGATGTTTACAACGCTAACGTTAGGGCAAATAAAGAAGGTTATGAGTAGATACTGAGGCAGAGGCTCTGCAATTTGGCTTCTTTATTGAGTGTCAGATGGAGTGATTAGCCAGCAACTTTCAGAAAGCCAGGGACTGGAGAAGGTCAGCGTGTTGTTGGGGGAGCATCTTAAAGGCAAATTGATTCTGGGGATGCGATTGTAGATCCCCAATATAACTTATGGCTTGGGGGATGTGGTATTAAATTTAAATTTTATTAGAGGGATTCGTCATTTTATGCTTGTAGAAATCCAGGATATAGTGCTCTGAATTTTACCAAATAAAAAGCAGTAGATTGTAATTTCAGGATCAAACGAGGTACAGATCACTTTATTTACGAAAGCGTAATGGGTGTGGGCAAACCTACATGTGAGAAAAGGACCACATTTCTGTGCCGAAGTCGTCACTCATTTTTTTCCTTGAGTGGATATGGTTGGAAAAATGTTATTCACATACTCCTTTGTAAATTTTCTGTAATCCCTCCTCACAGAAAGTGGGTACAGGTTACCTTTTCTGGCTGATAAAATAGCCCCCAGTTACACCCTTCCTCAAAACGAAGACCACTGTGCAGCCAGAGTTAAATTTATAAAACTTGACTATGCCACTGCCTTGATTAAAGTTCAGATTTTTAATGGTAGCCCTCAAGATAAAATCCTGTTTAGTATGGTCTACAAAGCCATCTGTCATAAAACTTGTTATAGTTATCTTTACAGCCTCTCTCTACTCATGCATCCATCCATATTCCAGGCACAGTGAGCAGCTAGCAGATCTGCTCCAACAATTAGGCCTTTGCATGCTGTTATTCTATTGCATGCAAATAGAATAATTTGTACATGCTATTATTCTATCTGCCAGAGTCATTCTCCATCTCTTATTTTCCATCCTTATCAGCATAACCCTTACATGTTCTTTAGTCTCTTTCATGAGCCTTTCTGCCATTGTCAAGATCCTGTTAGGTGCTTCCTGTGTGCTTCCAGGACAACCTGGGGCTTTATACCAGTAACGTCCATCACCCTTACCAGACTGTGTTAAAATTGAGTATTTATTGTACTTGTCTTTCTCACTTCCTAGACTGTAAGCTCTCTGAGAGCAGGACCTGTGTTTTCACTGTTATTCCCAGAGCCTTGTACAGTGCCTAGTCCAGAGGAAGTTTTCAATAAATATTTGTTTTATAAAACAACAAATGGCTATGGCACTAAATTTTTATGCTTGGTACAGTAATATAGGGAAATGGGTACATTTCAGGTTTATTGTTAATGTTTTAGGGAAGAAGGGTTTTTGAGTTCTCCATTCTGTATTATTTAAGAATATGCAATGTATATGCAAAGCACAGTACTAAGAAAATGTAAAAGAACCATAACCCTTGCATTAGTGAAGTTACTAAAAAATCAACTTACAGTGCAAGATGATGAGATGAAGGCCATGGTTAGGTTACAAAGTAAGCCTTAAAAAAACACGAAAGTGAAACATGCCAGTGAGTACTTCTTGCCTTACTCCGATACTCTTAATCTACTATTCATTACTCAGTAGCTTGCTGCGAGTTACAGGGCTATTAGAGCTTGGGTTAGAAAGTCTGGCCTTTGCACTTAGAGCGGTGTCGTCATCAGACACAGGTGCTCTGTCTAGTTGGAGCTGATTCCCATCCTGGAGCAAGAGGTAAAACCGAAAAGAAACAGGGTAAATCATTGAAAGTTTTTATTTCCAGATTATACAATTTATAGTTCATCCTAATAGCCATGGAGAGCCAATATAATTTTGGAAAGTGGCATGAATGTTAGGATTTTTATTTTATTTTCAGTATCAGATTGGTGTTAGATTGGCCCCCTGCCTTCTAGAAACCCCTTATTGATGGTCTTAACTTGAAACTTAGCAAATAATTGAAGATGGGCTGAAGTTACAAGAGACCCAGTGATAATAGTAGGAAGCATAATTATCTTTGGGACCCAAATATCTCACATGTAGTCCTTTAAGAACAGAGTATACTAGTTAATATCAGCATTTATTATCTCACAAAGGAGAATAGTATACTGTTTCTTTTCAGCTGAATTGGATTATAGAGTCTTAGGATTTCACAACATGCTGTGCTCCTAATTTGGATGCAAAAAACGTAACACTTTCTGGTGCTTAATTTTATATTTTAAAATATTTTTTACTTTATTAATTTTTAATATGGGAAATTTCAAACATACATACAAATAGAGAGAATATAATATAATGAGTCTATGTAGCCATTACTTGGCCTCAGCAATGATCAGCATTCTGCTATTTTCCTTATGCCAGATTTCTAGTATTCAACCTTATTTCCTGCCTTTCTGAGTCTCAGCACTGCAACCTGTGGCATGTCTAAGCTTTGAAGAAATAAGCTGTGCCTTGTGGTAACCGCTGAGATGTTCTTAGATGTTAACTGGGAAAATTACGCATCTGCTTGAATTGGATCTGAAAGTTTTCCACATTGTCCATCTAATACCCAGTTCCCTGCTTTCTGTGGAGCTTCAAAGTGGACAATTACATGGCATGAGTCAAAGTGGACAATTACAGTGAGGTGGAAATGTGGTGTGATTGTTACGGTGATTGTGACCTTGACTGTCTAGGAGAGAGTTTTGTGGAACCTAAAACCCATGTATGGCACTTAACAATAAAGTTAGGTGTGAGCATTAAAAATTATGAAGGCTTTTTTTCCTCTAGAAAGGATTTTTTACTTTGCTTTTGATTTTTTCACAGCTTACCATTCCAGGGTTTTTTTTGTTTGTTTGTTTGTTTTTGTTTTTAGGGTATTATCTTCCCAATGGAAAAGTATAGAGTAAAATTGATCAATTTTTTTCCTTCTTAACTTCTTGTTTTTATGTCCTGTTAAGAAAAGTCTTCAACTCCAAGATTATAAAAATGATACATTCTTAGTTTCTTCAAATACTCTATAGTGTATTGTAATTTTACAATAATAAAAAATTAGAATAAGTAGTAAGGAGCCAGTTTTCCCTTTTCCCAAACATCAGTTCCTGCATCTCTCATGCTTTCTCCCACTGATGTTGGACACTGTAGATCATAAGCTACCTTCCCCTCTGTGCTTGAACCCTTCCTTATGCTCAGGCTTTCCCACATGGTTTCCTGACCTTGACAAGTAAATCCCAGTCCAGGCACCACTCGGTCTCTCCTCTCACTGGTCACCCCGCTGCCAGCCCCTTCCTCTGCCAGCCCCATACCACGCTCTAGCAGGACCACAGATGTCAGGTACTCCAGTGCCCAAGGGAGAACCTCAGAAGTTTTATAATAGTAACAGTATCAAGCCTTTGAAACATAGAGCTTTAATCAGGTGAATTGTAATGTTTTCTTTCCTGTAGAGCTAACAAACTTTCTGCCTTTCTGGTTCAAAATCTGCCTTCCCATTTAAAAATGAAGTGTGGTCTGGAGCTGATATGCCTGGTTCCTTTCTGTTCGGCCATTTACTAACATTGGGCTCTGGGAAACTTACTTAAAAGTGATTTCTATCTTATAGGATCATTATGAGAATTAAATAGATAAATATATGTACAGTGTCTAGGATGAGTGTTTGGCATGTGCTGAGCATTCAATAAATGTTCATTATTACTATATATTACATCACAGGAACTATGAAGAATAGACACCGATTTGTATACTTTTGTTTGTTTTAAAGGGGACAATTCATCTCTTTCGGAAATCACAAAGATCTTTTGTTGGCAAGTTATTACAGGAATTTAGACTTGTTGCAGCTGACCGAAGGGTAAGTTGTTTTTGTTCCCTAATTTTAATTATTGCACAAACATAATGTTGAAAAAAGGTAATTTTTAAGGCAAATAGAAATCACTCTCAATCGCACCACACTTTTCATTCTTCTTATGTTGGATAATTTTTTAAGTATATTTTATTGATTATACTGTTAATGTTGTCCCAATTTTTTTCCCTTTGCCCCCCTCCACCCGGCATCACCTTTCCCTAAAGTAACCCCTCCCCACCCCCTACTTAGTTCATGTCCATGGGTCATGCATGTAAATTTGTTTGTTTCTCACTTTCCTATACTATTCTTAACCTCTCCCTGTCTATTTTGTTCCTACCAATTATGCTTCTTAATCCCCACACATGTTCCCCTTTCTCCCCCTTCCCCTCCCAGCTGATAACCCTATGAATGATCCCCATATCTATGGTTCTGTCCTTGTTCTGGTTGTTTGCTTTGTTTGTTTTTGTTTTTTAGTTTCAGTTGGTGATAGTTTGTTGTAAGTTTGTAAAACCATAGTCACTTTAATATTCAGAGTTTTGATCTTTTTCTTAAATATGTCCCTTTAACATTTCATATAATAATGGTTTAGAGATGATGAATTCCTTTAGCTTTACCTTGTCTGGGAAGCACTTTTTCTGCCTTTCTATTCTAAATGATAGCTTTGCAGGACAGAGTCATCTAGGTTGTAGGTCTTTGCTTTTCATCGCTTTGAATACTTCTTGCCAGTTCCTTCCAACCTTCAAAGTTTCTTTAGAGAAATCAGCTGACAGTCTTATGGGAACTCCTTTGTAGGTAACCCTCTGCTTTCCTCTTGCTGCTTTTAAGGGTCTCTCTTTATCTTAAACCTTTGGCATTTTAATTATGATGTGTCTTGGTGTGGTCCTCTTTGGGTATGTTGGATAATTTTTTAATGTACAATTTTAGTACTTTGGCAGGTGTTTGCTTGGGAGGAAGGTAGGCTTTGGTTAGTTTTTATTTTATTTTATTTTTTTAAAGATTTTATTTATCTTTAGAGGGGAAGGGAAAGAGAGAGGGAGAGAAATATCAATGTATGGTTGCCTCTTGTGCATCCCCTGTTGGGAACTGGGCTGCAACCCAGGCATGTGCCCTGACTGGGAATCAAACCGCGATCCCTTAGTTTGCAGGCTTGCGCTCAATCCACTGAGCTAAATCAGCCAGGGCAGTTAGTTTTTATTTTAACTTTAAAGAGACTCTTAAATAAAAATTATTTTGTGATTGCTTTATGTTAGTAATTTTTTTTAATGGGTGTATCTAAAGTCATGTTTTCTCATTTTAAAAAAAATCTATTTATAGAGATAGGGGAAGGGAAGGAAAAAGAGGGGGAGAAGCATCAATGCGTGATGGCCTCTTGTGAGCCCCCCACGGGGACCTGGCCCACACCCCAGGCATGTCCCCGACTGGGAATCAAACTGGCAGCCCTTTTGTTCACAGGCTGTCACTCAATCCACTGAGCCACACCAGCCCCGGCTGCCTTCTCATTTTTAATGTAGGCAGGAAAAAAATGCTTTAAGATCATAAAAGATGTAATTGGTTCTCTTTCTGGTTACCATGTAGACCTTTTAGTTACTGTTCTGTGCTCATTGTTCTCATTCTTGTCTTAATTATACTATAAGCTCCCTAAGGGCAGTGATTGTGTCTTTTTTGCTCACTTTTTAATAAGAGTACAAAATAAGTAGCCAATATATATTTGATGACTTTTAAATAAACCCAGCTTCAATAGAATATAATAAACAGTAGTAATGATGTTGACCTTGTATTATAATACTGTATTACAGACTTCTCCTCTTTTTGCTTTATCACTATATCTCCTGCTTCTAAAACCTTGGAATATAGTTAGAACGCAGTAATCTTAGTATTTGGAAATATTACCATACCCTGAATGTTAAACTTCAAGAGCCAAGGATAAGGGATTCACCTGCTTCTTGTGTAGCTAGTCCATTTAGGATGATCTCCTGAGAACAGATAGATAGCTCTGTGATGTTGATGGGAAGGAACTGTATTGCAGAACTAAATTCCTTAACAGTGTACTTTATTGAGGCCCAGTATATTACAGACATATAGGTAGCAGGAACAAAACTGATACGGGAATCCTGAATTGTATAGATAATCTCGATCATAATTTAAGTTTTAAGAGATATACGTATCTTATCTCTCTTCACTACTACGTCTGTCTTAGTTCTTGATGATTTCACATTCCCTGTGGAAGATTCTTAATAACTCTCAGTTCCTTACTTCATCACCAAAAATAATCTTGTCCTTCCTTTCCAGCCACTCACTTCTATGGTCAGACCATAGACCTTATCATTTATAATACCCACAATATATCTTCCCATTATCTCAGCTGCAAGCATTTTACTTATTAGTCATCATCTCTCGACTTTCCAGTTAAGTCCTTCTATTATCCCAACTCCAGTAACTCTTAGTCTTACTAGAACCTCCAATATATCGACTCTACCATATTTTTACTGTTTTTCACCTCCCTTGTCACGATGTGTTTACTTACACCATTTAGATTCCGTGAACCATCATTTTCATTTTCTTACGTATGCCTTTGTCGCCTTCCTTCTTTCCTTCTGTCTGTCATACTGCCTGTCATACATCCCTGGAAAATCCTTAAGTTCACTTTCTTTTCACTCTCTGCAACCGAAATTCACCCAAGCAACTGAATGTAGCCCGAGAGAAACACAAAAACCATGCTGACTGGTCTCACTTTAAGGTCACAATGAAGTCCTGACAGGTGTGGATCAGTTGGCTGGGCATCGTCCTGCAAAGCAGAAGGCTGCCTGTTCGAGTCCTGGTCAGGACACCTGTCTCGTTGTGGGTGTGGTCTCAGTCGTATGAGAGGCAGCCTTTTGAGAGGGAGAGATGTTTCTCTCCCTCTTCCTCCCTCCCTTTCCCTCACTCTAAAAATAAGTAAACATATTCTTTAAAAAAAATAAATTTATGATCAAGTATGCCATTTGTGCTGCCCATGTTATATTTTCTTCATTCAGTCTCCCACTTTCCTAAATGACTGTTTCATACCATCTTCTTAGACTTCTGTCCTTAGAACTTCCAAAAATGTGTTCATGCTCACCCTGACGTTGACTTAGCTCTGTGTTTCAGTACGGGAAAGGAAGTAATCAGAATGAAACCTCCACATCCTATCCTTAGCACACCTACCAACTCCGCCTTCCCTCCGGTTTCTGTGAGTGAACTGTCTGGTCCGCTACACACGGCCATTCCCTCTACTTGTTGCCTAGCCAAGGACAATGCTCTGTAACTGTTCCTTCTGTCTCTTGCCTCGTTGGTCCTTTTTGCACCATTCTTCTCTTTCTTGCATCATAATTACCTGCTATATATTCCACTTGCAGCTACTGATTCATTTCTCTGCTTTTATACCAAAAGTACTTAAAAGACTTGTCTTGACTCTCTCTATTCACTTTCCCTTGTCTCTTTCTCTTTCAAACACATGCCAGCCCAACACTCTTCCCCATTATCCACAGAGACTGCTTTTACAAAGCACTTTCTGCACTCAACTTCAGTAGTCATGCCCATTTCCTATCTTAGTGGACCTTGAACAGCATTTGACAAAATTTGGACACTTCCTCCTTAAAGTGCTTCATTCATTTGGACTCTGAAACACCACTCTTGGTTTTCTTCCTACTTATTTGGCCATTATCTTTTTGTCTCCTTTGTCACTTTTATCTTTATGATCTCTGAAGTTCTGACCTTCTCAGGGCCTAGAGCTCCAGTCTCTGTTGTTTATGTTCGTACATCTAGTGACACTATCACTGCCGTACGCTGATAGCCCTGTTTTATATCAACCTCTTGACTTCTCCACTGCCTCTAGATTGCTGTATATATAATGACCCTCTCACATTTCCACTTGGATATATAATAGGTATCTCAGCTTCAATCGGGTAACATTTGAATTTCAATTTTCTGTCATTCCTTGCTAAATGGCCACTCTGTTCTTTCACATGCTCAGGCCAGAAACCTTGGAGTCATTCCTAGCTCTCTCTTTTCCTCACAGCTGACATCTATTTTTAAAGCAAATCTTGCTACCTCTGTCTTCAGTATAATACCCAGAATCTGCCTCCTCTAATACCTTCTTACCACCTACAAAGGCCCCCATCATTTCTCACATGCTTTACTGGAATCACATTCTAGATGGTCTTTCCATTTCCATCCTTGCCCCATGCAGTATATTATACATAGAGAAGTCAAAGTGATCTTTTAGAAATTGAAAGCTAATTTACTTTCCATAAATTTATTTTTTAGAGGGGAAAGGAGGGAGAAAGAGAGGGAGAGAAACATCAATGTGTGGTTGCCTCTCGTGCACCCCCTACCATATCAGCTCCTGGGTCTCTATTACCTATCCTTACCTCACCTGCTTCACTGGTTTGGTTTCTGGGTGTAAGGAAAGTTCCAGAATGGTGTCTACCTTAAATTCATGCTGCTAATTCTCGTCCTCCTCTTTGATGATTCAGTAGTATACTCACTATAACAGCTTCTGCAGATTTTCTCTGGATTTAAGGTTCCAGTCCTACTTCACCAATATCCCATAATTTTAGAAAATGGCCTTGGTTCTTTTCTGGAGATTCATAGGCTGTTAGCGCTGTGCTATTTCTTGGCCTTGGTTCTTTTCTGGAGATTTATAGGCTGTTAGCTATGTGCTATTTCACTGTCACCTCATTCTGTTTTATAGTTTCTCTGTCCCTCCAGTCACTTTCTTATCCTTCTCACCTTCCCCAAAGTACTGTTGTTCTTTTCTAAGCCTATACCTTCCATCTGTATTCTAAAACAATGTTTATCCCATATCACATTTGACCTTTGCAATTACCTGTTTAATTTGAACACCTTCAAATACCTGCCTTTTCACTAATTTCTTTCACCTCTACTTTCAAACAATCATAGGTCTCCCTACAAGGGAATAGAATAGAACAAAAATAAACACTTCACTTGATCTCTTCTTCCTTTATTTTTAGAATACCCTTTGTCCTTCCTCTAATTCCCAACTATTTCCAAGTGCATCTCAGGTCCCCTCTCTTCTATGAACTTCTAAACCATGGTCATCTTTCCCTCTTACGTGGTCCTATTGCATATGGTTATTTGGTAAATAATCAAGTTCCGCCTTTGGGGAGGGGACAGGTAACTTCAGATTCACCAGTTGCTTACATTTTCGCCCCATTTGCTTTATCATTGTGCTTACATTTTTTTAGGAGACAAAGTGATATTAGAGTTTATGTGTCAGAGTTTATTTTCTCTTGAGTAATTCCCTTTTTAGAACTATTATTTTACATTTGTATAACTTGTTTGATAATAATTTTGGTAAATTTAGAAAATGTGATACTTTGACTTTGAAGAAAGTTGTGCTTATTCCTTTGAGTATCAAAAGTATGAATTATAGCAGCTTAAAGAGTTTGGTGAAGTTTATCAGCACTATCCGGATAAGAATGATTTTCTTTTTTCGCAGTCCTGGAAGATATTGCTCTTTGGTGCAATAAACTTAACATGCACTGGCTTCCTGCTTACATGGTGCAGTTCCACGAACAGTATAGGTGAGTCACCTTTCTTATTTGTACTGTGTTCATTATTAGTTTCACTTCTTATTCTGATGTTTAATAAAGCTACGGCTTCCTTTACCTAGAATATATTATTCTGAAATAAAACTCAAAAGATTTAAATGAGAAAATCTATTTGCAAAGTACCTTGAAACTATAAAGTTTGGCTCAATTATTAGGCATTATTTTTTTTGAATGAGCTTTTTTTTTAAGGTTTTGTTTATTTATTTTTAGAGAGAGGGGAAGGGAAAGAGAAAGAGAGGGAGAGAAACATCAATGTGTGAGAGATACGATGATTGGTTGCCCATTATACACCCCTAACAGGGGTCCTTGTCAGCAACCCAGGCATGTGCCCCGATTGGGAATCAAACCGGCAACCTTTTGGTTCACAGGCAGGCACTCAATCCACTGAGCTACAATAACCGGGCTATAATTTAAAAAAAAAAACTTTAAACATGTTTGAAAAACTCAGATTCCTTTTAAATGTGATGTATTAGGAATTCTGTTTATGCAGTTTATAAATAGAATTTTGAGATTTATTGGATTTTTTTTCGAAAGGGAAATCTAATTTTCATTGTGGCTTGACCTCTTATATTTTTATTTATCATGATTTTTTTAAAGATTTTATTTATTTATTTATTTATTCATTCATTCATCCATTCATTTTAGAGAGAGGGGAAGAGAAGGAGAGAGAGAGGGAAACGTTGATCGGTTGCCCATTGCATGGTCCGGCCCAGAACCAGGCTCATGCCCTGACTGGGAATGGAACTGACAACCTTTTAGTTTGTGGCAGACACCCAGCCCACTGTGCCACACCAGTCAGGGCTGTACCATTATGTTCATTCTGCTATTCAAAGAATCTATTTAAAATAGTGTTCCTATGACAGAAGGCAAAAAGTATTGTCACAGGTCTTTTGAGCACACACTGAGTTATTTTTTCCAATGGAGAAATCAGGTTCTAAAGGAAGCTTTTGTGCAAACCAACTTTGACTGCATATATTAATCAGATTTACTGGATAATTGCCAACATGCAAGGTTAATCAGTGATTTTTTTCCTTTTCTTTGTATTTTGGTACTAGACACCCCTGTTGTGAACAGTTTTGGTGACTTGCTATATTTCCTAATAATGGACTCAGTAACATTTTAATCAATCTGTTTTGCAGCTTTAACTGCCTATACTTACCTGACCATTTTTGATCTATTTAGGTAAGTTTTTAAAAATCTCCTCTAATATTTTGAAGCTAATAAAGAATTTCTTGCACTAAAGTTATAAAGCTTTCTTTACTTAAAGGAAAGTAATCTGTGAAATAAGTAAAATTACCAGTATAGGACCCATATATATAAACAATAAATGAACATATATACTGGAAGAAAATACTCTGTTTACATAGCAACAGAAAAGTAATATCCAGGCGTTAGTTCAAATGCTTCAAGTGCCTGCCTCTGGGTGAGTGAGCTGTAGCAAGGGAGCAGGGTCACATAAGAACATACCAGTTTTGATCCCCACTGTTCAGCTCAGTAGATTAGATATTGTCCCGATATGCCAAGGTTGTGAGTTTGATCCTCAGGCCACATACAAGAATCAACCAATGGCCCTGACTGGGTGGCTCAGTTGGTTGGAATGTTGTCCTGTACACCAAAAGGTTGCAGGTTTGATCCCCAGTCGGGACAAATACAAGAGGCAATTGTAAGAAACACAACTTTAAAAAAAAAGGATCAACCAATAAATGCATAAATAACTAGAACAATAAATTGATGTTTCTCTCTTACCTCTCTTTTTAAAATAAATAGATAATTTTTTAAAAATTAAAATAAAAAAGAACATACCAGTTCCCTCTATAACTGTTGATGGGGAAACAAATGAGGGGCATCAGTAGCTGAGAAGTGAGTGATTGTGAGCCAGGGGGACACCCTGGTGCTTCTTTGCTTCCTGGGTTTTTCACGTTTCCATACAAGTTTTGCAAAATACCTTAATATCTTCAAAATTCATGCTGTATGAATATGTCATGAGGATGTCTTTATATTAATCACATAACTAAATCACTTGATTGGTCTAAAATCATGTGAATTGAATTACCTGAATTTCACATGTAGTTAGTTGTTTTAGAGTGAATCTCTGCTATTACTTAGAAAATGAACGTCATTTTACCCCATCCAGAATGTTGTCAGGGTATATTAATATTTAGCTTAACTTTTATTGAAGATCAAATAAGGCTTATGAAAATGAAAATTTATTGTATTTGCCTAGAATGAAATATATTACATTATTATTCTTGCGTCATTTTTTGCATGCTCAGTTATGGAAACTAGTTAAGGTAGACCACTGAGCAGAGAAAGTGTGGGTTTAGGTTTTGTTTAACTGACTTGATGATATATTACGTTTTTCAGTTTCTCCACATGTTAAAACTGTCATGTATTAGGATGCTCATTTTGAATAGATTATAAATTATTACATAAGTTATTGTTAATTTGTTCTGAGTAAATACTGATAACTTTCAGCATCTTAGGAATTCTGAAAACTTAATTTCTTCCTCTATGTTCTCTTCTAGCTGTGGATCTAATGCTAAATTTATTTTTCTTTTTACTTAGTTTAATGACGTGTTTAATAAGTTACTGGGTAATGATGAGGAAACCTAGCCCGGTCTATTCATTTGGGTAAGTTCAAATTACTTTATTTTCTCCTAACTTACTGCTATTAAAATAATTATATTAGGCAATACACAGCTAGCTAGAATAGTTCTAGAAAACAAATGTTGCCTGCTTAGTGGAATAATCAAATGGTGAAAGTAGGTAAAAAAGAATCTTCCAAGTGGATTTAAATAAGAAACATGAATATTTAAATTTTTCATGTTAAAGTGAAATATTCACATTATGTTATTTTTCTATTTTATAAAACAAATATGAACATAATATTTCAAATTAAGTTTTTTCATATTTGGGGAATCTTTCATTTCACTTATAGAAAATAGAGTTTTCATGTAAGTGTATTTTTTAGATGTTAAATTGATATATTTTAACATAAATGCAGTGATAGAGATGGATTTTTACTTTAAGACTGGATATTTTTATAGCAATGGACTAACAAAGAATTTGAGATTTCTGTTTCTATAGTTTTAGAAAATACTGGGAGTTGGAAGATAGTCTTTTGTGTTGGAGGTTTTTAAAGACATATGTTAGAAAAATGTGAGTTCATTTCAACTTAAAGGAAACAACTGGAAGAATTTTACATTGGTAAAGAAACTCCTGAACTACCCTGGCTGGTGTAGCTCAGTGGATTGAGGGCCTGTCTGGGAACTGGAAGGTCTCTGGTTCGATTCCCAGTCAGGGCACATACCTGGGTTGCAGGCCATGTACCCAGGTGGTGGTGTGCCAGAGGCACCTGATCCATGTATCTCTCAGATATTGATGTTTCTCTCCCTCTTTCAACCCCCCTTTCCTTATTTCTAAAAATGAATAAATAAAATCTTAAATTAAAAAAAAGAAGAAGAAGAAACTCATGGACCAAACTTACCCTTATTCACCATGCTTACTCTTCATTGGGATTATGTTTATTTGAACAAAATTAGGGAGGGATTTTGCTTTTTTTTTGGATTTTTTTTAAACTGTGGGACAAGGTAAACTAAGATGTTAATGCAAAATGAAGATACAAGTGTCACTGACATTTCCTAGGGTTGGACTGTTACTGTGATAATCAGTCATCAGGTGTAGATATGTGTATATGGGGGGATCTGTGACTCTGGATCAAGGCTTCAGTTGTTAAGTGACAGAAATCTGACTGAAAACTAGTTTGGGGGACAAAATGGAGATGCGGGTGATTTATCAACCAAAATGCAGGAAGCCTAGTAACTGGAATAGGGTTTAGAACCCTTGGGTCATTGTCTTCGCTCATTTCTCAGGCCCTCTTTTCTCTGCCTGTCATGTTGACTTTTCAGACTCCTTTTTCCCACTATCCTGAAAGGATTAACTTTCAGCCTGACCCTAACTCACTCCTTTTGACCGTCACCCTAGGTCAAAAGGAAAGGACTCTTCCTTAGCTCTAGTTCAGAAAAGCATGAGAAAGAACAGTTGATTGGTCCAGGTTGGAGCAGATGTTAGTCTTTAAATCAGTTACTGTGGCCAGGAGACAAGGTCAAGTAAGGACATGACAGCTTCCATTCTGGCCCTCTTGCTTAGAGTGAATGGGAAAGGAGGGAGCAATCAAACAATAAAATGAAACATTCGGATTAATTTTAATCAGTCACATCGATTGAAAAATCTATATTTAGTACTTCCAAAATCTAGTTCTTCAGCTCTGAGGTCTGTTTTCATTTCACATTACCTTCTTGACGGCTGCACTGAGATGTCTAATTGGCATCTGAGGCTTAGGCTAGAATTCTTGTTTTCTCCCCCCAAAACCTGTTTCTCTACAGTTTTTCCATCTTAGGAAAGACACCAACATGCAGTTGCTCAAGCAGAAAATTCTAGGCATTATCCTTAGCTTATTCCCTCACTGCCCACTTCTGTCCATCAGCAGGTTATGTCAAGTAAACTAAAAACACATCCAGAATCTGTTCCACCCTGTTTCTATCTGTACTAGCACCATCCCAATCAGGCTCTCTTCATTTCCTGCCTTAACCAATGACCATCATCCTAACTGGTCGCCATGGTTCTGATCTTACCTCCCATAGTCTGTTGCCCCATAAATTAGACAGAGGTTTTCGTTTCTAAACCTAAATCGTGCTGTCAGTTTCCTCAGGTCCATCCAGTTGCTTCCCATCGTACTTACCATGAAACCCTGAGTCCTTTCCCCCATTTACAAAGCTCTTGTGTGAGCTGGACCCTGCCGACGTAATCGCCCTCCATACCACATCTTTCTTTCTGTAATTTGAACACAACTCATTCCTGGGCTAAGGCCTTTGTACAAGCTATTCTCTCTGCTTCAAATGCTTCTGGCCTAATTTTTTTTCCCTAGATATTTGACTTTAAACAGTTGCCTTTTCTCTTTGTTTTTGAAGTTGTTATCTCTCTCTGTCTGTCTGTCTGTCTCTCTCTCTAAGTGGATAAAGTAACCTTCTTAAAGAGTTGGGATGTTTAAATGAGGTAATATGTTAAGTAGTTTGGCTAGTATCTAACACAAGGTAAGTCAGTGAAGTGTTAGCTGTTAATTGGATAATGGTTATTATTAGAAAAATAAGAGAGATATGTGAGCCCCTGGTAATATATGTTATACAGATGGACACTCTTTTTAATCTGTGATGTTCATTCTAGAAACTTCATATTCTGTTCTAACAGTGTCTGACTTATAGTAAAAGCATATGTGTATATTTAGTGAGCAAATAAATGTGTTCTGTAAGTACTGGTTTGTGGATTCAAAGAATAATGCTGATCTAATCAACTTTCTGATTTCAGATTTGAAAGATTAGAAGTCCTGGCTGTATTTGCCTCTACAGTCTTGGCACAGTTGGGAGCTCTCTTTATACTAAAAGAAAGGTACATTTGTATGTAACATTACTGTCATTCTAAATGCCACCTGTGCCATCTTTGGGGACATAAAGAACCTAGTGAGAGAATTTGGTTTGTAGGCTATACAAATTAGAAAGAGCAGTGCTGGAGTTTTAATAGTACAATTTCTTCATATTTCAGACTTTTCTCCCTTTTTTTTCACCCTCTTTTATTACCTTCTTTGAAGCTACTAAATCCAGTTATAGGTAGGTGTGAGTGAAAGGAAGGGATTTGGTGAGCTATGTTGTAATGCTCAGAACTACAAACCCATTGAAATGGGTTTGGTAGAGAAATATTAACGTTGCATTTCGAGGATATTTTGTGAGTCTTCTTGCCTCACCACTGCTGATGATCAACAGTTGGTTATATTAAAGATTTTTTGGGGGGTGGGCTAGGATGGGAGTAAAAGACAGAAAACTATACTTGAATAATAATTAAATAAAAGAATAATTTTAAAAAGGTTTTGTGAATTTTTTTGAGTTAACCATATGTTTAATAAAGCTTTATTTTATTTTATTTTAATTGTTCAAGTAGTTTTCTGCCTTTTACCCTCATCCCAGCCCACCCCCTGCCCTCCCCACCTCCCTCATGTTTCCACCCCCCTTGTTATTATTCCATGTGTCCTTTATACTTGTTCCTAATAAAGCTTTTTATTTTATAATTTATAGGACTTATTTAATTCATATTTCTTTCTTTTAGTGCAGAACGCTTTTTGGAGCAGCCTGAGATACACACGTAAGATTTTGGTTTTGACATAACGTATACTTACTATTAAGTTTAATTCCCTGATGTAATTGGTGCATTATTAAACAGCTATTACTCTGGCCAGTATTAGAGTTCAGAGTGTGGCATTACATTTCACTGATACTGCACAAACAAAACTTCCAGATCCCAAGACTCTTCTTATTCATCTTTGTCTGTTCCTTACACTGCAGACGAAGGCTCCTCTGCCCTGGCTTCAGGTCCTCATTGTTTCCAGGCCCAGGTCAATGCACTGAGCCAGCCCCGTCTGCTCTTCCATAATGTAAAATTTGATTCTCAAAATCTTTTAGTAGCACCTGCAGAAAAGGTGGGATTGTTATTATCTTCCACATAGTTGCCAACTATATGGACTTCACTTGTTTTGGTCAGTTTAACTCAGGACTTTCTGACCTGTCCAATGAGTAAACCAAGTATCATTAGCATGTAACGAATTTGTAACAGCAGTTACCTGCAGGATGATAATGTTAATGCCAAGAGTCTGGTTTTGCCCTGTGTTATTAGATGGAGCAACAGCACACAGGACACGGGTTATAGGGCTATGAACCAAGTTCGGATTCTGGCTCTGCTACGCCAAACCATAGGAGCAGGCAGCTCCACCTCCCCATCTCTTTCTCAGTCTCTCTGCATGCTGAAGTTACATGTCGATAGTACCAAGAAAAAAGTGGTGGTGAATGCTATTGTCGTTCTTTTGTAGGGGAAGATTGTTAGTCGGTACTTTCGTGGCTCTTTCCTTCAACCTGTTCACGATGCTTTCTATTCGGAACAAACCTTTTGCTTATGTCTCTGAAGGTATGTTTTTTGTTGTTAGTAAAAAATTTAATTAATCTCTGATAAAAAAGTCTTTCGTTTGTTTCATTAAGTTATCAACCAATGAGAAAATATATTTTGAGGAGAGGAGAACTACCCCAGATGTTTTCAAAGTGTTCTTTAAAGAAAGATGTATAAAACAAAATCTAATTAGTTCAAGTTTTATTACTTAAAAACAGGTAGGACTGACATACATTAAATTAAACTGGATGAAAAGTTAGATTTACCAAATAGTACAAATGAGATTTTAGAGGTATAACCTGTTAACCTGTTTTACCCTTTTATTTTTCGTGCACATATTCACCCACTTATAATGATATGCATTTACAGTTTTATGCCTTTTCTTCCTCATTTACAGTATCAGGAGTACTACCTCACTAAATACTCTGAAAAAAATGACTCCCTGCTTTTTGGGATATTGATTTAACCTGTTTAAGAAACCAAAAGACTCAGAAAGAACCTTTGGCCCCTACCCCTCCCTGCCTTAAAGATTCAGACAGAGGAACCTGCTTCACAGGAGAATTTAGGTTGTGACTTTAGCCTCATTCGAATCAAGTGTGGTAAATTGGGGGGACCATGGCCAGGATGACCAGGGACCCACTGTGTCACTTTGTTTCTAAGTCGCCAACTACCTACAAAGTGCCCACTCTCACCTCTGAAACGGAACACCCCATATGCCCCCCTTTCTCCATCCCAAAATGTTTCATGTACCCAGTGTTGCTTCACTGTGTTTAGAATTTTCATGGATTTATCTAATCTGTGTGAATTCCCCATGCGCATGTATTAAACTTTTATTTTCTTTTGTTAAAAAGAAAGAAAAAAGTGCTTTCATAATATTTTGTCATAGGAATATTTTTAAACATCTTTCCTTATACATTTCCAACTTTTACAAATAATGCTCTAATCAACTTATTTGTATTAAATATCTTGTATAGATTTATGATTCTTCTTTAGGGTAAATTGTCAGAGAAGAAATTACAGCTGGATTAAAAATATAGTGTTTTTAAAGGCTTTGATATACATTGCAAAGTTTATTTCCAGAAAGTTTATTTAGTTTGTATTTTCATTAGTTGGAAATGAAAGTTCCCCAAAACATCAAGATTTGTGACATTAGCTGAAATTTGAGTGGAAAACAGTATCTGGCAGGCATTGTGCTCTTACATAGAAAAGCCCATTTATTCTCCCTGCAACCATATGCAGTAAATGATTTTATTATCCCCGTTTTCCACTGACGCTCTGAGGCGGTAAGTCAGTTGCTCTAGGCCGCACATCTAGTTAAGGGTGGAGATGGGATTTGAAGTCAGGTGTTCCAGGATCTGAGGCTGCTCTTAACTGTTCTACTAAATGTGCTTTTGTGTAAGGCTTGTCAATCTCTTCTTTTTTCCTTATTTTAATCAAAATACTCATTAAAAAGAGAATATTCCCAGCACTGTGGGGTAAATATAAGTGGATACCTGAGCCTGGAGGTTACTTGTTCAGGGACACTAACTTGTGAGGGTCTTCAGATGCAGCCTGGCCCCCATCTGGCCCTCTGAGAGCTGAGTATGTGTAACCGGTCTGAGCACACTGGTTAGGAAACTGCTTTATGGTAACAGAGCCTTCAAAACTTCAGATGAGTAGCAATAGTGATATATGTAAGTTCACTAATTCCTTCAGGGCAACTATATAGTGTTGAAACTTTTTGCTTTAGTGTCTTAGACACATAAAGCAAGTTCTATATTTGAAGAGTAATATCCTTTTGTAATGTTATGTGGATGGTTGCCAGACTTATTTTGAAAATTAAAGAAATCATGTATTTCTGATAATGGTTTATTCTTCTAAATAGATAATGTTAGTATTTCCTTCTTAAAGCTGCTAGCACGAGTTGGCTGCAGGAGCATGTCGCCGACCTGAGTCGCAGGTAAGATGTCACGGGGTCTCACGACAGACATGGTTTTGAAGGAATTCATGGGAAGGCGTGTGTCATGGGACCTGACACAATTTATCGCTGAGATTAATACATTAACCTCACAAATTAGAGTCTTACTCTTCCTTTTTCTTTTTGATTGATGATACAAAAAAGACCTTTATGAGTGAGAGAGCTTTGTTGCCAGATCCTCTTTGCTTGGTTTAAAAGCTAAATGATGCTAAAATACAAGTCATCTTGTACCGGATTTTCATCGGTGTCACATGAGCTCTGCTGATGAATACTGCTTTTGTTTGTTTCACTCGTAGCGTGTGTGGAATTGTTCCAGGGCTGAGCAGTATCTTCCTTCCCCGAATGAATCCATTTGTCTTGATTGACCTCGCCGGAGCGTTTGCTCTTTGTATTACATATATGCTCATTGAAATTAAGTAAGTATTTTTCATTTCTGTCAAGTGTGTTTCCACTCCTGACTAGTAAGGGCATCACCGACCGGGATGGATGGGGGTTAAGCACACAGCATGTTTGCTCATGACCTGTGTATCTTTGGCCATGTCTTGTCTTCACATGTCTTCTCTGAAAAAAGGGGATTGTATTCAATAAGTATTTTCCACTACAATCTGTAATGCCAAATTAGTTGCCGTCTGCTGACCCGATGAGTGGAACAAAAGAGGGCAGTAAGAGAGAAATAAGCAATAGCTTGCTGTTCCTGAAAGCGGGAAGAGAAGTGGGTGTGAAGCAATTTTTTTAAAAAGCAAACCTTTGAGGAAATAGACTTTACAGCTGCTCTAAGCTTAACATTTCAGGACATGTAATTCTTTGACTGCATACCCTTTAAATATTAGTATTAATTGGAATCGTCCTTAAATTCTTGTTTTTACTGTTTTGTATACTCTCCTGGGAGATAGCACACAGTTATTCATTTTTATTTACTACCTCTGTATGTATCCAAAACCTTTATTTCTAGCCCAGATCTATGTTGAATCCAAAAGACTTATCTTAGCGATTTCTATTCATGTCCACCTCAGTGGAACCTATTTTCCCCTATTCCTTTAACCCCTTCCCCCACCCCACTGCCCGCCTCAGGCAGCCACTGATCTGTTCTCTGTTTCTTACAAGTTTGATTTTCTTAGATTCCAGATATTAATGAGACCGTACAGTGTTTATCTTCTCTCTGACTTACCTCACTTAGCATAATACCCTCAGGGTCTATCTATGTTGTTGCAAATGGCCAGATTTACTTTTTTAATGACTGTATAGTATTCCTATTTCCATGTCTTAGCTATTACAAACGGTCTTAGAGTATAGCATTGTTTAGTTTTTCCTTGAATATTTATTTATCTGTCCCCTCTTCATTCTCATTGCTGCTTCCCAAACTGAGACCTTTATCATCATTTCCTTGGCCTAATTAAAATAGTCCTCTTCTGGTCTTTTACTTTTTCATTCTCACACATCTCTGGTTTTCCACTGTTTTCCTACTAATGTGATCATTCAAAATTTCAATGCCATACATATTTTTCTGTTTCAAAATACTCCCTTTTGCCCTGGCTGGTGTTGTTCAGTGGATTGAGTGCTGACCTGCAAACCAAAAGGTCACTGGTTCAATTCCCAGTCAGGTCACATGCCTGGGTTGCCATCCAGGTCCCCAGTTAGGGGCGTACAAAAGGCAACCAATCAGTGTATCTTTCACACATTGATGTTTTTCTCACTCTCTTTCTCCTTCCCTTCCCCCTCTCTAAAGATAAATAAATAAAACCTTTTAAAAACCCCAAAGCAAAATTCTCTCCTTTGCATATTTAAATAAAATAAGTCATTAGTATAATAAAGCCCCTGTTAACCTTACCAGCCATCTATCTGTCTTAACTGTTTTTAGTTTTATTGCTGCATCAAGATTTGTATGCTCTTGTACATGCTGTTTTATTTTTTTTCAATTTTTATTTATTGATTTTTCGAGAGCAAGGATGGAGGAGGGAGAGAAACATCGATGTGTTGTTCCACTTATTCATGCATTCAGTGGTTGATTCTCGTATGTGCCCTGACCAGATAGCGAACGTGCCACCTTGATGTATCAGGACTGGGTTCCAGCCAACTGAGCTACCTGGCCAGGGCCATACTCATGCTGCTTGCACTGTCTACACTATCTTCCTTCTATCACCTCACTCTTCTTTGAAGGCTTAGCTCAAATGTCACCTCTTTATATTTAGTCTTTCTGGATTACCTCTACCCCAGGAGCCTCCACACTCACTCCTTTGTGCGTCCATGATTCCCTGTAGGGACTTCTCCTTTGCTCACGGAGGACTTTATTACATTCTCCACGGTGTACCTCCTGCTATTTCAAAGGCAGGAGCTATCTATGCCTTACTCATATTTCTATTCCCAGCATGTGGGGAAAAGTTTAAAAGTGTCCTTGTAGCAGGCGGCACTTTGGTCTGTTTTAATGGAGCAGTCCGAACTGTTGTTGGGATATTGCACTTCAGTCACAATGTTGCTGTAAGAAGAAGCTTGTAGCCCTGGCTGGTGTAGTTCAGTGGATTGAGCCAGAGCTGCGAACCAAAGGGTTGCCAGTTAGATTCCCAGTCAGGGCACATGCCTGGGTTGCAGGCCAGGCCCCTAGTGGGGGCCACATGAGAGGCAACACATTGATGTTTCTCTCCCTCACTTTCTCCTTCCCTTCCCCCCATAAATAAATAAATAAACAAACAAACTTTTTAAACAAAAAAGAGATTCTTCCAAAAATAAAACAACAAATACCTTGTAAAATTCCTGGGCAATTTTCAAAATTTTAATAGTAAATATTTGAAAGTTATTTTTATAGGAAAATTAATACAATCACTGATGAGCTCTGAGTTCTATTAGTGTCTGTATTACAGATTACTATTTGAAGGGTTTTATTTGTTGCAACAAGTAAATATATATGAAATTTTTCTAGTTGACAAGTAGATTGACTAAAAGTAGATAGTGGAGAAAATGCTCACTTTTTATCTTCATCATCTTTCTTCACATTAATTAACATAATTATTAGGGTTTTTTTCCCACTAAACTCTGGAGAGAAAGGATTTGGAAAATTTTTTGTTTTCCTTTGAGATGCTCCCATTGCCATTAGTGACCGACCACTTGTGATGAAATAGTCCTTTGCTTTAGGTAATTAATGTCTGATAGATTGAATGGTAAGCAGCTGAGTGAGGCACACATTTGCAATTTAGAATTGTTTTTTCCTTTTAGTAATTATTTTGCTGTAGACACCGCCTCTGCCATAGCCATTGCTCTGATGACGTTCGGCACCATGTACCCCATGAGCGTGTACAGTGGGAAGGTGTTACTTCAGGTAAGGGTCTTTCTGTGTGCATGTGAACACTAGCCCCGTTCTTCCACCAGGTTGTCAAATTGTGTATGTTCTTCCACTGGACTGTGAAACGTTTAGCTATTGGAGGGCCCTATGGGAAATGAAGCCAAATAATAATCTCTGAAATGTTTATACCAAGAACTAGATGAAATTACATTGGCCCATAGAATAGGCACAAATCTTCCTATATTTGTAATATAACACAAAATCAAATAATTTAAAAGATTGCCTCTAATAATGTTTCAAGTGAGAACAATGTTACTTAACATTTTTTTAGATATTTTAAAAATAAATTTGTGTAAATTTATTGTATAATCAGGCTACTGTATAATGTTTATGATTGTTTTCTTTTTCCTGTGGTTGAATCAGTGAGAATTTCAAATTTCAAGCTTAAAATTAGAACAGTAGGTTATTATTTACTGAAGCAGTAACACCTGGGGACAGGAACTGGCGTGGAGAGGCGGTCCCCCGGCACCGGATATGTGCGTGCACACGCCTCTTCCTTCTGTCTGGGCCTCTCGCCCTTTCTGGAACTTACGGGTAGTCTCCTGGTCCTCAGGGCCCGTAACAGCAATAAGATAATAGTCGTATAGTGTTATACTCGATACAAAATGTTACCTTCTTAAGGATTTTTTGGTTAATTGATTATTTTGATTGGTTGACTCTTTGAGGCTTATTTGATCCTAGCTGCAGCAGCTTCGTTGTGAACTGCAAAGAGCCTGAGCTGCTGCTTGATGTCCCCCCACTGCCGGGGGCGGTTGAGACCTCTCATCCCTAAGTCGTGATAAGGCACCTGCCAGACAAAGCAGAGTTTGGTATAAGACGCAATATTGTTAGTTTCTGGACCATTGTTGAAAAATCTCCCTTGATACATATTTTATTTTTTCCCCAGACAACACCACCTCATGTTATAGGTCAGTTGGACAAACTTATCAGAGAGGTAAGATGGAATGATAAATAAAGTCATTTAAATTTATAATTAGAGATGCAAAGAGTGGGTACTAATAATACTTTATTCAACCCTATCTAGACTTTAAGGAAGTTTGTGTTCCTATCTCATCAGGGAACATAACAGTGACAAAAGCAGAAAGATTGAGGAATTGTTCGGTCTGGAGACCAAATTCACTTGCTATAAATGTGGAAGGTGATGGTCTAAGGACCACCCTACTCCCTGTATAAATGCTGTGATTCTTATGATTTCATATTGACACCTAGGGGTTTGAGTAAGTTAAAGCCCATTTTAATCTGTTCATTGCTTCACCCCCTAACATCGTGGGGGTTTGTATTTTGTATTGTTATGAACGTCTACCTATTAACTAATGAAGGAATACAATAATTGAATTACTTGGATGTGGAGAGTATTTTAAACCATTGGTTGTTGGTATCACAACGGCCACTTTGACCAGTAGAGCTGTCCGCTGTCTCAGCTGGGGGAGCCTGCGCCACTGCGCCAGGGGCCACACACTGTGCACCTGTCCTTGGGATTTCCGTGGGGCCCACGTCCAGATAATGTGCATTGTTGTGCAGAAATTTGTTAACAGAGAGTTCAGAGAAAGAAATGAGAGAGGAGAAAAACTACTGAGAGCACAAGGGCTGGGTATAAATGTATGCCGTATTGATAAAATGAAGAGGACCACACACTGTTCAACGAGGTGGGGTGGGAGGCTGCGAAGACCTGATTTTAAAGGGACTGGTGCAGACAAGAAACTGGGGAATGGGCCTTTGCTCTACTGAACAAGCAGAAGTGGAGTTTCGGAAGTCCAAGATGAGCATTTTTGGACCCTCGGTTTTGGCTCACCGATTAAGGGGGTGGTCTGGGACTTCTCTTGGCTAATGAGTATCCTCATGCAGGGCTTGGCCATGTCACGTCCAGGCCAAGAGCAAGTTCATGCATAGTGGGATGGGACCATGCCGAATGTGTCAAGTAAAAGCAACCCTATTTCTGTGTTTTTGATCAGGTATCAACCTTGGATGGCGTTTTGGAAGTCCGAAACGAGCATTTTTGGACCCTAGGTTTTGGCTCATTGGTAGGTTTTCTATATATTACTTCAGTTATAATTGAAAACAAAACTTATAATTTTCAAAATGAAAACAAAGTACTTTAAATCCTGCCTGGTGTAGCTCAGTGGATTGAGCACGGGCCTGCAAACCAAAGGATGGCAGTTCAGTTCCCAGTCAGGGCACCAGCCTGGGTTGCAGGCCAGTTCCCAGCAGGGGATGCACGAGAGGCAACCATACATTGATATTTCTCCCCCTCTCTCCTTCCTTTCCCCTCTAAAGATAAAGAAATAAAATCTTTTTAAAAAGTACTTTAAAAATTTTATATGTCCTTTGATTCCCATTTTTGTTCAGTAGAGTCTAAAATGTAGATGGATTCAGAAACTTAATTGAGATTAATAGAGGGATGTTTTTCTTTTTTTTTTCCCAAACCAGATGATCTTAATACTTAACTGTCCAGAGAAGACAAATTCATAGTCACATATTCCTAAAAGTGAAAGTGTTGCAGAAGGTGCAGTTTTCTTTTTAGTTGCAGTTCTAATTTTGGAGATTTCGCTGCAGGTGTTAGAGTTACAACAACACAACTCACTGCAGCATGAAACTCCCTGCTTTCCAACCCAGTCTGGGCCTCACTGCCAGAGACACTTACGGCACGGCTTCCTTTCTGTGTCAGGAATGACGAAGAAAAAAAGAAAATGGCCTTGAAAAATTAAGTCAACATAATCCTACCATGTAGAGAAAATTGCTGTTGACATTCGGTGTTTACACTTACACATTCTCCTTAGAAAATGAGATCATGCTGTTTTATAATGTGCTCTTTTCATTTAACATGCTATAAACAGGGTTTCATATCGCCAAATATTACTCTCCTAATTTAAAAAAGATTCGTCATAGTTTTTTTTAACACAACACAATTCCACAGGTAGGCAGACGAGGACCGGCCCAGCAGCTCGGCGATGTCATCCATGTCGCAGCCTTTAGTTTCGGGTTTACGCTCGTTCGGTGGGGGACGGCCGCCTGGTCTCTACCTTCCCCGCTCTGTCCCTCCCCAGTCGTTGCGGGTACCGCAGACTCACTCTCCAGTACACTCTTTGGGAAGGGCTGGGGAATAGCATTTCCTCAATTCCCGAATGTTGGACACAGTGCGGATATCGTGCTTGACAATGGTTTTGACCGGATATAAAATCCTGGCGCATTTTGTTCCTTGAGTTTCTTAAATATGTGACTCCATTTACCTCTGGCATAAAGCACTGCTGTCACAAAGGCCCGATGACTCAGAGTCTGGTTTGGGTGTTTCATTCCCTTTACGTGTGACTTGATCTTTTTGCCTAGCTGCCCAAAGAAGAACTATTATTATTATTATTATTATTATTTTTACACCTAACAATTTTACTAGAGTGTTTTGGTGTTGATCATTCTGGGTCAATTATTTCAGGTATACAGTACACCCTTTCAATAATGTTATTCAAAAACAGTTTTTGTAAACTTTCCGGAAAGTTTTTTTTTAGATTTTATTTATTGATTTATTTTTAGAGAACGAGAGGGAGAAAGAGAGGGAGGGAAACATCAGTGTGTGGTTGCCTCTCGCGTGCCCTCAACAGGGGACCTAGCCTGCAACCCGGGCATGTGCCCTGACTGGGAATTGAACAGGCGACCCTTTGGTTCGCAGGCTGGCACTCAGTTCACTGGGCCATACCAGCCAGGACAGGAAAGTTTTCTTTTTTTTAAAATTTTATTTCGTTATTTTTCAAGTACAGTTTTTTGTCTATTTCTCCCATCCCAGCCTCCCCTGCCCCTTGCTCCCCACCTCCCTCCCATTTTCACCCCCTTAGTTCTCATCCCTGTGTCCTTCCTATTTGTTCCTCCAAATCCCTCCACCTTTTTCCCCTTAACTTCCCTTCCTTCTCCCCTCTGGTCACTGTCCCCTTGTTCTCTATTTCAGTGTCTTTGCTTTAATTATCGGTTGTACTATTTAGTCTCTTGCTTTGATTTTCTTCTTTGGGAACTTCTATTGTAATCATGTTGGATTTTGCCTTTTTTTCCTATTTGTTTTATCTGCATTTCCCTTTGATTTTCAAACTTTCCTTCTTTTCACCTTCTATTTCTATTACAATATACTTGGCTGTTTACTTGCTTTTGTATTTTTTTTAGTTTGGTCTTCATTTCTAAAGTGATTTTTAAAATTTTCTAATTACCTAATTGCTGAGACTTTCTAATTTTCATTTATATTGTTCTTGTTTCATGTCTTTTGGCTTGTTTTGATAAAGTGGGGTGTAGTTCTCATCCGTTTTGTAGGTAAATCTTCCTGGTTATCTTTTCTGTACTTTCCTTTTTTTCTTATAATAACTTTGTGTGAGATTTAGATTCAGTCCTTTTGTATTGTTCCTTTTTACCGATATTTGAAATTCATTTTCCTGAACTTAAAAGTAAGGAGTGGTTTAAGGTAGTATTTCTGAATTCATGGCCCTAGGGTTCTCTGTTCTGATGAGTCCGTGAAGTGAAAGTTCTTTCTTTTCCCTGGCTCTGCTTCTCTTCCATTTGTACCTGGACCTTCCTGATCCTTTGTCTCTACTGTGCCACTCAGCTGGGGTTCTGTTCCAAGTTGTTCTTAATGTGGCACTTTGCTTGGTTACTTCTGAGAGTTGCAGGGTTCAGACTACCCCAGCCCTTCATATCTTATTGCAGACCCAGCTGCCTTTCTCAAATTCGCTGTCCTAGATTTCCATCAAGTACAGGTTTACTGCTTTGGGGTTTATAGGTCAGACCGATGCCCTGTTGCTTCCTCCTCTGCAGATGCCAATGCCGTGCAGGTCCATGGCTTGTGTTTAGGGTTTCCTAAGAGTGCTCTGTTAGCTAGTTTTTTGTAAGTGTTGTTCATGGGTTTTTAGATTTGCTATCTTAAGTTTCTCAGTTTTTATAGAGATAGTTAGGACATTTCCAGAAAGTGCCACCGTTGTTGCTATCTACTAAGAATCCCAACATAATTTTTTAACTATTTTATTTATTCATCTTTAGAGGGGAAGGGAAGGAGAGAGGGAGAGAAATATCAGCATATGGTTGCCTCTCATGCATCCCTGCTGGGAACTGGCCCGCAACCCAGGCATGTGCCCTGACTGGGAATCGAACCGTGATCCTTTGGTTCGCAGGCCCACAGTCAATCCACTGAGCTACACCAGCCAGGTCCCCAACGTAATTTTTAGTGGCTGCAGAGTTTTACATTATATGAATATGCCATAATTTATTTCATTATTTCTCTATTGCATAAGTTGTTTTCTGTTGTTCCCATAAAAACTGGGCTGAGATGAGTATTTTTCCTATACAATCTTTGTATGTACTTGCAGTTATTTCCTAAGATTAATTTTTAGGCTTTCCACCATGTGAGGATAACAATTAAAAATCCGAGAAGTACAAGAGAGCCCTCAGCCAACCGTGCTGATCTTCAATCACTCTGATCTCAGGCTTCGCAGCCTGGAGAACTAAACTATCTCAGAAAAGAAGTGGGGGGTGGTCTTCCCTAAACCAGCTGAAGTCCCATGATGGACCTGAACAGACACAGCCACACCACCTCATTGGATCTGCACTACACAGTCTTGCCTGGGGTGGCTGGAGACTCAAAGACTGCTTCTTGTCTGGGATCATCCTGAGCTGCACACACCTGTCCTTGGGTAGCCTGAGGCCAAGGCCAGGGGGTCCTGGGGCCCTTCTTCCTAGTGCTCGGTGGGCTGGGGCACTCAGAACCCTCATTTGAGTGGCAGTTGTCCTCTCCACTGTTAAACTTGTGCCTCTTCTGAAAATAAATGGTGCATTAGGTCCAGGAGGAGCTCAGGGTGTGTGTGTGTGTGTGTGTCTCTCTCTCTCTCTCAAGACACTGGCACGCTTGATGTCCCTGGCTAGGCAGAAACCTCAGGTAACCCAAGCATCTGAAACAGCACTGGTTTTCCCTTGCTACTCATCATCTCCAATGAGTCTGTCTCACTCATCCATCACATCTGGTTGGGTATCAAAGTCCTCCTGCTACTAATCCCTGGAATGTCATGAATCCATCTGTCCCTCTCTGACCCACTCTGTCCCATCTCAGACCCCTTCATTTTAATCTAGGCTATTGCAGTTATTTCCTACATCATTCACAATTGTCAATCCATACAGTTTTTCAGAACTCATTGCTGTTGTATTGCTGGTATTAAAACTTACAATATTCAGATACCTCTTCTAGCTTTTCTTTTTAACCCCATTACTTACCCTTCTTATTTCCATTCTTTGTTTCTTCTTTTCCTACTTTCTTTTCTTTATTCTTTTTCTGCCTCCTGAAATATTTGCACTTCTTTTTTTTTTTTAAGATTTTATTTATTTATCTTTAGAGGGGAAGGGAAGGAGACAGGGAGAGAAATATCAGTGTATGGTTGCCCCTTGTGCATCCCTGCTGGGAAATGGCCTGCAACCCAGGCATGTGCCCTGACTAGAAATCCAGCCACGATCCTTGGGTTCGCAGGCCCACACTCAGTCCACTGAGCTATACCAGCCACGGCTTGTACTTCTGTATATATTAATGGTATTGCTTATTCTTGCCCAAACATGCCATCATTTCCATTGCTATTTCCTAAGCCCGACTCTGTTTGAAATTCACTTAACCATCAACCCTAGATCATGTCTCATTTTTTTCTTGAAGTCTTTCTCAGTTTGAATTATCTCCTCTTTCTGCCTTTCTGTTGCCCTTTTTATATACTTATTTATATTCTGCCTTATGTTATAACATGCCTGTGTTGCTCCTACATGGATTTCTCTTCATGTATATATACTTTGAAAGATCGTGTTTTATTGAAAAAGTCACAAGTCATTTCACTAACTCTTTATCTTGATGATCACTACTAAGTAGTCTTTAAGGAACATCGAGACATTAAGCTTTCTCTTATGTTAAAATACCGAGTGCTGTTACCACAGCCTCATAAATAAGATGTTCATTTCTGATGAAACTGGCAGCTTTGTGATTCTCAGCATCTCTTTCTTACGGCTTTGCTCCTTTTAGGCTGGATCAGTGCACGTGAGAATTCGACGTGATGCAAATGAGCAAATGGTTCTTGCTCATGTGACCAACAGGCTGTACACTCTAGTGTCTACTCTGACTGTTCAGATTTTCAAGGATGACTGGACAAGGCCTGCCGTACTGTCCGGGCCTGTGGCAGCAAATGTCCTGCATTTTTCAGATCATCACGTAATCCCGATGCCTCCTTTAAAGGGCACCGATGAGTCGAACCCTGTCACGTCGACTCCAACGAAACCTAGTAGTCCACCTCCAGAATTTTCATTTAACACCCCGGGGAAAAATGTGAGCCCAGTTATTCTTCTAAACACACAAACGAGACCCTATGGTTTGGGTCTCAATCACGGACACGCACCTTACAGCAGCATGCTTAGTCAGGGACTTGGAGTTCCAGGCATTGGAGCCACCCAAGGATTCAGGACTGGCGTTACAAATGTACCAAGTAGATACGGAACTAACAACAGAATCGGACAACCAAGACCGTGATGTACTGCGATTTAATTTATTGTATGAGGAATATTGACTTCTTGACTTCCAGTGTATTTAGTAATCCAACTTTGCATTGACTGTTCAATCATTTATTGTAATTGTAAAAGAATAGTAGTCTAGTTCATGTTATATGAAACCGATGAAATTATATTTTTGTAAATGTATTAAGTACGCTGAGAACCTTTAAATGCTGTAGGCTTTAAAGTATATTTCTCTAAATTTGCATTTTGCTGTCTTTGGTTTTGTGATTGACTATAGAGTGATAGGCTATCTTTGCACGAGAGCCGTGTGAGTGGGTCTGCTGTGTTATCAAAGGTACAGTTTTTTCCATGAGATGTATAAACCTGCTTCTTGGGTAATGATACACATCCTAGGAAAGAAAAAACATGGCCGCACTAAAAGTAAAAGTCTCTTTTATAGCTTTTCCAAACTTAACTGCTGCATTTTCCTTCAAGGTCCTCCTGAATTATGTCTTGCAAAGCAAAAGCAAAAAACTGTATCAGAAAATTCAGAACATATTCTACTACCTGGTTTTGGTCATTTAAAAATTTCTGTACATTTGTGAATAGTCCGAGCTTCTTAAAAGTTGCATAATCAATTTTAGTTTATGTTAAATAATTTTATCAAAAGATAATGGATGTTAGATAGTAGAATACAGTATTTTCAGAGCTACTACAAGCAGTTTCTCCTTGTTTTGCTTTGTGAAACATAGTCAATTGTTAACTGTGATGAGTGTGAGAATTATGTAGATTATTTTACTTTTGATTATTTCCCAAGTACACATGTTAAAGACTTTCTAACATGGCCAGTATTACTAATTAAAAATAGAACAAGCAGCAGTCGCAAATTACCTATGATTTTTTTCATTATATCATGAGTTTTATGATTATGGTTTTTAAAAGAGATTTTAAGAGTGAATTCAACTTTTCTGGAATCCAGTGACTCCCGGGGATCTGTGACTTTTCCAGCCATCCACCTGCCGTCGTGAGAAGATTTCTGTTTTTGTAGAATTTGCAACAGTTTCTTCAATCAACTCATCCTTTTACATATGAGCAACACTTCCAAATCCTTTTTCTGCACGGTGGAATAACAGACATCTCAGAAGCCACCTCCATCAAGCAGAACTGTAGTTACTCTGTGGTAATAAATGACTGCGTCTCTATTAACGTTTGCTTGGTGAGGAGCTGGTCGTTGTCTTGACTGCTGTGACTTACCGAAGAAATAGAGGGCACATGACCTTGACCACGGGAATATGAAGCTTTGTAAAATGTAATAGGGCAAACTGTTTCTCGTCCTTTGTCTCATCTTCCAACTATTGCTACCCTATTGTTGGTCTACTGTTACAGGGTGATTTTTCCTCCACTGACCCCATCTAAATGTGAATTCAGGTCATGCGTGAAATCTGAACTGTCATATACTGAGTGATGATTAAGAGGGATGTGCTGTCACCCCGTGCACATCTCCACCCCCATGGGATTTTTAAAGTGTCCAGATGCGGAACACAATTCTGCATGAGGTTAAATGCCTCCTTCCTCGACCCCCATTCAGAAGTAGCACCTGTGCAGTTGTCCCACCAAAGGTGCTTTCGTGCCCACATATACTATTTGAGAAGTTGCCTCTGGGTTCTAAAGGAATTGGCTCTACTTGCTGCAGTTCAGTAATGCCAACTACGGCAGGTGACTTTGGTCCATCGTTTGCCTGGCTCTGGCCAGCTTTCTGGATATAAAAACAAGAAACTTGGCCAGCATACAGGCCTTAGGCAGTAGCCTTACTGGTAAATCTTGCTCTGGAGTTACTTGAAGCTAGATTTTTAAAAAAGGAAGTTCAAATTAAATACTTGGCCCACAGTTTGGGACTAAGAGTAAGCATCATGGAGTGTGACTGACCCAGTTTGAGAGATCACTGTTTGTGATGGGAAGAAACACGAGACTGATTGGGAGACAAGAATCGGATTCTAATCCTAACACTGCCTCTGTGTGAGTCGTCTTGTAACCATGGGCAAGTCGTTTAACTCCCCTGAGCTTTCTCATCTGTAAAGTTAGGGTGGGAAATGAGTTCGTTGATCTGTGACTGTCAGCTCTAAAACTTTGTGACTAGATCTGTAGAATATGTGCCCACCTGCTAAACGGAATATTGTGCCCAGCCTGTCTTTCCGGGGACTACCTCCACACAGAAGCCAAGTGCTTCCTGCACCGACACCCAAGCCATTAATCCGAGGTGCTGTGGGACCAGAAGGTGAACTGCAGGCTAACACCTGTAGGGTTCTGTTTATTTCAGACTTGCCTCAAATAAATCTTTCAATCTGTTTAAACAGATTTTTCTTAGACTTCTTTCTTTGTGGGAAAGGATTATTTATGTGGAGTGTTGGAGATAAGATTAGGACAAGGCACCCTTAGCTTCCACAGGGTATGAAAGAATGGGGTACATTTATATTTCTTCCTTAATCTCTGAAGTCGCAGTGGAAATTACATACATGTATCAGCAACTGGGGAGGACCTGAGTTTCAAGCCTCCGATTCAGCTGCTCAAAAACTGCCAATTTTTATGCTCAACTGAAGAATGCCGACCTTCTCTGGGAATCTTATCTGCTTCTTACGTAAGAAAATACTTTTTCACATTCCAAAATGTTTGAATTAAACTTTTTGAATAAAAACAGACATGGACTTTTCTGTGATTTTAAATAATTTTGGCTTGTTTCTTTACTCAAGAGCTATTTATGGGTAATTTAATGATCTCATATTTAGCAAATTCTTTTGAGAGTCTAGTACATGCCAAGCACTGCACTAAGTAAGTATGCACACAGCAAATCAGTTTTCGTGACCTGCTATCCTTGGGGCCAAGGGAACCAAGGATGGATAGGAGTCCCCTTCAGGTAGCTGATGACCCAAGTGGGAGGGGTGACCACGGAAGTATCGCACATCATCGGTCGACTCCCTCCCACTTCCCCCTCTTCTTTGGCCTCATTTTCCTGGCATCCTCTTTTTTTTTCCTGAAGTATGAAAATGAAACTTAAGTCGATTCCCACACAAGAGGCCAGCTATGGAGGTGATGGTGCCACATATCTTGATGTCAAAAGAGAAGGTGCAGAAGGGACAAGTTAGGCAGATGCTGTTGACACAGATCATTTTTAGGTGTGTAACATTGCCATATACTCTTGGACTATATGAGCAAAGATTTTTAAATCACCAGACTGAAAGTAATGGAATCCCCAGAGCATTCATGGACTCAGGGGCCCCTTTATTTAATCCGTTACCAGTTTAAAAGCACCTTTAATAACACTGATATCATCATCATCAAATTGCCATCCAACAAGCCTAACTTCTTGCAAAAAAGTTAACTTAGATAACACATGGCCAAGTTTTCTGACTAATGCTGCATCGGGTAAAAATCTTTCAGTACTGAAGTCAAAAAACACTAATTGCTTTAGATTTTCAAATACACCCAGGAAGGTAAGCCATCCATCACTGCTCACACAATTTCCTGCCAAATCCAGCTGCTGGAAGTTTTTCAGAGGGTTCTTTTCAAAAAATGTACCTGATAAAAAAAAAATAGAAATTAGCATTTTAGTTAGAAGCAAAACAGTTTTTAAAAAAGAAATGGCCATATTTGGACCAGCACTTTGCCTTAGAAATTCTCTATAGTTAGGGCGGTGATTGTGAACTTGGACCATTGTATTTACAAACTATATTATTCCTAAAGTATAAGGGAATCTGATAAATAGTAATTTGTATTTAATTAATCAGTGTTAAATAATGTAATTATAATTAAGTTATAACAAATATTTAAAATGAAATAATTTGTAATTGATTTAACTACTGTAACTCATTTATATTCAGCAAACCAATATAAATGAATTATATGTTTTTTTCCCTTTTTCTGATTCTTCCAGGAAATGGAAGATTGCTTCAAATTGAGGTGCAAGAGATGCTGTTAAATACTCAGCACTTGTTTTCAAAGCTGGAGTCAAACTCTGGCAACCTTACATCATTTCCTCTTCTGAGAAGCAAACACTTCCTGTTGTGCCTTGGGTTTGGAATGTCCTGACCTAAACTTGAGTCAGTGAGTCAATTTCAGTATCTCAAGACTTGGGTTTGGGCATGGGGGGGGGGGGGGGGGGCTGGGATTTAGAGGATGTTTAACCCTCCCTAGACTCTTCAGGAATTCCTTCTGTTCTTTACGGAATGAGTAAAGTACCTCCTCAAAGGGAAGGTGTTGTAGCCATGACCATGAAGTCAAAAATAACTTGCTAAGGAATAGAGGGGTAAAAAAGTAGATTCCTGGGTCTCAGCGACTGCCCAGAGCAAAGCCACCCCACCTGCCTGGACGGCTTGCTTCTGGACTGTTAGGACAGGGAAGTAAGTTCTGTCTTCTGTAAGCCATGGTGTAGCGGGGTCTCTTGTTTTGCTGGCTCCGCCTGTGCCCAACCTACCTCACACTCTCTCTTCCTCCTTCTCGTAAGGAGCCTGTATTTGTTCCTTGTAGGAGCTTGCTCCTGTCTCTCTCTCTCACACATGTTGTGTTCACATTTTCTGCCTCTGTCTTTTTTAAAAAACTGATTTTAAAGAGAGAGGGAGAAACATCAGTTTGTTGTTCCACTCTTTTATGCCTTCATTGGTTGATTCTTGTGTGTGCCCTGACTAGAAATGGAAGCCACAACTTTGGCTTATCGGGAAGACCTGTAACCGACCGAGCCACCTGGCCAGGTCTCTGCCTCGGCCTCTTCCTTTTTCGTGTGCTTCCCAGCACGGCAAGCGCCAGTCAAAATGCCGGTTGTTGGTGTCTGTAAGGCTCCTTCCCCAAAGAACAACTTCTTTTCTCCTCCTCAACTAGCTGACCTGATTTTACCACCTAAAAGAAACTTCGGAAAAGAATTTAAAGCCCATTCCGCCCTCAGAGGATGAGCTATTTAGACAGGCTATCTAAGAAGGTTTAAGAATGGTACCAACTTAATCCGAGAGCTTTGGGAGCATCACTGCATCGAGTGCGAGCACAGGAGCCAAGAGCGGGCAGCATGGCCCCGCCTCCAAGGGCGTGCGGGTGCTCACATAATCCGCAGTATCTCTGTGATCGGGGTGAGAATCTATGGCATTCAGAGCTGTGGGCTGCACGTGGACTGTGGAGCGTGGCAGAGGCTCGATCCAGACTCCAGGCAGAATCTCAAATGCTCTGGGCAGGAGGATTCTCATCCTTGAAGGGCTCCTGCATACTAAACAAAGCCCTGGAACCAGAGCTCTTCCAGTCTGTGACTCAGCGAATGTTGTTGAATGTTTGCCTACTGTGTACCACGGACTGGGCTAGGTACGGGGTGGGGGTGGGGCGGTACGTGGAAAGGACAGGCCAGGCCCCTGCCTTAGTGCACTTACAATATACTGTGCGCACATACAGTATAAATTAGACGGGTGCTAGTGCCATGATCGGCAGGAGGCCCCGCGAGCTCATAAAGGCAATAAGCCTTCCAACCCCACTTTGTTCCCAGAACACTGGCAAGGGGGCTTACACGCCACAGGGCGGACACTGAAGGATCCTTCTCCCGAGAAACTGAACTGCCTCCAGGAAAAAGCCCTCCAGAGGGAGAGCCATTTTCTTACCTGTTCACCCACCCTGAAGCCAACCAGGTGAAAAGTGACCTCCTCCCTCAGGCACAGAGCTTATCAACTCACACTTCACTCGAAAATGTCCCGAGAACAGCACTGGAATACCAGACACTGGAGAACAGCCTCCAACAAGGAACACAGACTAAAAGCTGAAGAGCTTCCAAGAAATGAGGGGACATAGGGAACAGGAAAAGCAAACTTCAAAAACCTATTTTCCAGGGACCCCGAAAAGGTACTGCACCTACCCAACAACAGTAAGGTGTTATTTATTTTTTTTTAAGAACAATAGGAGGAGAAAGAGCGCTTGGACAATAACAATGTGATACCAGGATCCACGTGGCAGAATGGTCAGGTCCAGGATTTAGCACAGAGCTCCTGTGAGTAGGATCCTGTGATGGTGCTTTATTTTTGTGTGAACAAACTGGATAGTAGAGCTCAGGTGTGACGGCTCTCTTTGTGAGAACAGTCCAGAAAATGAAGTTCAGCTCCTAACACTTAAATTGGAAGATGCCTAAGGAGTTTGGGCCCGGGCAAGTGTGGCTCAGTGGACTGAGTGCCAGCCTGCAAGCCAAAGGGTCCCCAGTTCAATTCCCAGTCAGGGCACATGCCTCGGTCGTGGGGCCAGGTCCCCAGCTGGGGGGGGGGGGGTGTTGTTTCTCTTTCTCTCTTTCTCCCTCCCTTCTGCTCACCCTAAAAATAAATAAACAACATCTTTTTTTTTTTACAGGGTTTGTTAGAACAAGTGAAATAGATCCCTGAGCTAGTAACAATTTCTTTCTGGTAGTCCCAGAGTGCCAATGGGCTAGAAACAAAATTTTGTGAGTCATAATTGTAGAAAATGGTCATTGCAGTTCAAAGGTAGTCCCTGAGGAAAAGGACCAAGTTCTAAGGAAATTGGGAACATTTTATAGCTGAGCAGTGGAACTGCTGTTGCAAAGGAGACTGAGGAGTAGCTAAGCTGGCGTGGAAGTCAAGAGGACACTTTGAAAAGGAGGAAATGCTCAGCATCGGCTGCTACGGAGAAATCAAGCAAATTAAAATGTCTGGTACATTTTGATCATCCTCAGAAAGCAACCCGGACCCCTGAGTCCCCCTCCCCCAGACCTTGGCAACCACAAATCTACATTCTGTCATTATAAATTTGCCTATGTCGGACACTTCCTATAAATAGAATCGCACAACATGTGGTTTTTTGTGACTGGTTTCACTTCATATGATATTTTTAAGGTTCATCCATCTCGTAGCCTGTTCCAATAGCCCATTCCTTTTAATGGCTGAATAATACTCTGTAGTGTGCACGTACCACATTTTTTTAATCTATTCACTAGTGAGGAGCATTTGGGTTGTTTATACTACATATGTTTATCTTTCATATACATATAGTTTCCCCTATGTAACATCTATATCTACATTGAGCTACACACGACATGAGCTCATACTGCTGTCTCCAATTCTAATTTATTACCATGAACCAGCCTGGGCTGCTCCCCTTGCTGTAAATTCCCATCCCCACACAGGGAACCTGGCTCCCCGTCCTCTGCCGTCCGTTTACTTAACTGCTCAGTCCCAGCGTAAGTATGCCGCAGTATCAGAGTTGTTAACCTGTACCCCAACTGGAGTCAACTATCAAATAAAGTACAGTGCTTAGGTACAAGTTATTTTGCCTTTAGTTTTCCAAATCATTCCCCAAACCATTTAGGTCCATTTCTTTCCCCCATCCGCCTCAGTGAGATTGTTTCAGAGTCTGTAACGTGGTTAGGCTGTTTTGCATTCTGCATTTTGACCTCCATGTCCCAGATCTCCTCAGTGATGTTTTTAGTTTGCGTACATTAAGGTTCGCCGCTTGTGCTGCTGCAAAGTTCTATGGGCTTGACAGACGCAGGGTCGAGTACGCATGATCAGAGCATCATACAGACTATTTCCACCACCCTGAAGAGTCCCCCGAGCTGCCTCTCTTTAACCCTAACCCTCCCTCCTCCTAAGCCCCTGGCAACTACTGAGCTTTTTTGCTCTCTCAATAGTTTTGCTTTTTCCAGAATGCCATATAAATTGAATCATACATTTGGTGGCATTTTAAGACTTGCTTTTTCTCCCACTTGGCAATATATATTTAAGTTTCCCCTTGGAAACTTAATGGCTCAGTGGCTCATTTCTTCTTACCCCCGAATGACACACTACTGCATGGCTGCACCGCAGTTTGTTCATCCGTTCACCTGCCAAAAGGCATCTCAGTAGCTTCCAGTTTGGGGCAATGTTCAGTCACTACGAACTTGGGCCTGTGTCTCCATTTTTTTTTTTTTTTATTTTTATTTTTTTTTTTTATTTTTATTTATTTATTTTTTTATTTTGAATTGTTTATGCTGTTACAGTTGTTCTATTCCCCCCTTCATTCCCCTCCACCCTGCCCCCCCAACCCCCCGATTACCCCCCCTTTAGCTTATGTCCATGTGTCTCAAGTCCTTTAGGTTCTGTATTTCCCATACTATTCTTGCTCCCCCCATCTATTTTCTATCTACTGTCTATGCTACTTGTTTTCTGTACCTTCTCTCCCCGTCTTCTACTCCCACTCCCCTGTTGCTAACCCTACTTGAGCTCTTCATTTCTATGTTTCCACTCCTGATCTAGCTGTCCTTTTAGTTTGCTTTCGTTTTAGGTGTGGTTGTTGATACCTGTGAGCTTGTTGTCCTTTCACTGTTCATGTTTCTTTAACTTCTTTTTCTTAGATAAGTCCCTTTAACATTTCATATAATAAGGGCTTGGTGATGATGAACTCCTTGAATTTGGTCTTATCTGAGAAGCACCTTATCTGTCCTTCCGTTCTAAATGAAAGTTTTGCTGGGTAGAGCAATCTTGGTTGTAGGTCTTTAGTTTTCATGACTTGGAATATTTCTTTCCAGCCCCTTCTTGCCTGTAAGGTCTCTTTTGAGAAATCTGCTGACAGCCTGATGGGGACTCCTTTGTAGGTGATTGTCCCCTTAGCTCTTGCTGCTTCCAGGATTCTCTCCTTCGTTTTAATTTTGGCTAATGTAATTATGATATGCCTTGGTGTGTTCCTTCTTGAGTCCAACTTTTTTGGTACTCTCTGGGCTTCTTGGATTTCTTGGAAGTCTGTTTCCTTTGCCAGATTGGGGAAATTTTCTTTTATTATTTGTTCAAATAGTTTTTCCACTGGTGGTTGTGTCTTTCCCCCCTTCTGGTACCCCTATAATTCGGATATTGGAGCGTTTATAGATGTCCTGGAAGTTCCTAAGCTTCTCCTCATTTTTCTGAATTCTTATTTCTTCATTCCTTTCTGATTGATCATTTTTTTCTTCCTTCTGGTTTACTCCATTGAGTTGAGTCCCAGTTTTTTTTTCATCTCTATGGGTTTCCTGTGGAATTCCATTCATTTCCCTTAATTTAGCCTTCATATGTTTCTCTAATTTGTGGCTATAGTCCACCAGATCTGTGAGGAAGCTGACGACCAGTGTTTTAAACTGTGCGTCTGAGAGATTTGCTATTTCTTCGTCACTTAGATTTATCTCCGGGACTTTGAGGTCCCCCTGCGACATTTTTGGTCTGTTCTGGCCCTTTAAGTGAGAGAAGCGGCGCCTTGGAGTCCCAGGTCGCTTGGTTGTGACGCTGTATGTGGGGGGCGTGGTCAGGGGGGGGGGGAAATGGCGCCGCCGCCGGTCCCCGCTCACTCCCTCACCCGCGCGTAACCGGGCACCCACAGTCAACTCGCTGCCACTGCCTCCCCACTGACTCCTCCGTAGTCACTCACCCGGTGGGCTGCTCACTAGGTCCAATCCTGGGTTTGGAACCCGTGCGTCTGGATTCGCGCGTCTGGGTTCCGCGCCCGCGCCCGGGTCGAACAAGTTCTCCTTTGTAACTCCTCAACCCGCCGCCGCCGCCGGTTTGCCTCTTACCGGCCGGGCCGGAGAATTTGCTGTTTGCGGACTTCCGAAAAGTCGCGCGTCTGGGTCCCGCGCCCGCGCCCGGGTCGAACGAGTTCTCCTTTGTAACTCCTCAACCCGCCGCCGCCGATTTGCCTCTTACCGGCCGGGCCGGAGAATTTGCTGTTTGCGGACTTCCGAAAAGTCGCGCGTCTGAGTCCCGCGCCCGCGCCCGGGTCGAACGAGTTCTCCTTTGTAACTCCTCAGCCCGCCGCCGCCGGTTTGCCTCTTACCGGCCGGGCCGGAGAATTTGTTGTTTGCGGACTTCCGAAAAGTTCAGTTTTCCGTGTTCTGGTTGTGTTTTCTGATGCTAATATTTAGTTGTCCTTAAACTTGGTTGTGAGAGGAGGCAGGCACATCCACCTTAATCCTCCATCTTGGCGGAAGTCCTGGGTTAAACCTGTGTCTCCATTTTGATGAGTGAAATTATGTCACTTTTTTTCTTGAACAGTGTTGCTTGATTTTATCTATTTTGTTACTCTTTTTATTTATTTAAGATGTTATTTATTTATGTTTGGAGAGAAGGGAAAGGAGGGAGACAGAGAGGGAGAGAAATATCGATATGTGAGAGAAACATCAATCGGATGCTTCTCGCGTGCCCCCCAGTTGGGAACTGGCCTGAAACCCAGGCAAGGGCCCTGATTGGGAATCGAACTGGCAACCTTTAGGTTCACAGGCCAGCGCTCAATGCACTGAGCCACACCAGCCAGGGCATTGTTACTCTTTTTTTAAAGAACGAATTTTAGGCTTCCCTAATCTTTACTTTAGTTTTCTGTTTCATTGTTGCATGCAGGCAGGCCTCGGAGACATTGCAGGGGTGACTCCAGACCACCGCATCAAAGGGAGTCCTGATCCTTTCGCCAGTGGAGGGTGTTGCCTTCAATATGTAAGACTCAACATCTGTGAAGCTCAATAAAGAGAAGCGCAGTCAATGAGGTATGCCTATACTGTTATGGTTATTATGTTGTGGTTCGCTCTGTTGTTTTTCTGGCTTCCTAACTTAGAAACATTAATTTTTCAGCTTTTCCTCTTAATATAACTATTTAAGGCTATGAGAATATTACTCAAGCCCTGTTTTTTTTAATTTTTTATTTTTTGCTGCATACCACAGATTTTGATACATAGTGCTTTCTTATCATTTGGTTCTAAATATTTTTGTTGAAATTTGTCACTCTGAACTTGCAGTATATCTGCCAAATTATGTGACTTTCCCCAGTAGCTTGAGTATAGGTGCAGAAAATGTGGAAAATTAAGGCCGATCGAGGCTTGGAGTTTTTCCAGGAGAGCACATCCCAACCATTGTATCTAATTTCATACCTCACATGTCCACATCTCATTTTCTTGGTGCATCTCATTAGGCAGCCTTCCTTTAATTAGAGTCTGCCTCTCATTACACTTTCTTCATTTCTCTACAGCATCTATCACATGTATCCATCACTAAATGCCATTGCCTAAATTGACTGGTGATGCTGGGGGCCCGGGGAGCTTCTTGGGGACTTTTAAGAGATGGAGACAGGAAGGGGACAAGGCAATTAACAGGCCTCTGGGGCCTGAATCGGCAGGAATGGTCAAGCATCTCTGAGAATGTGGAAGTACCGATAAATTGAACTAATCTGCCATTCTGAACGCTCATGTCATTCCACCTTTCACAATTACCCACTCAGTAAATCTACATCCATGATTATACTGGGCCCTTCTTGTAGAAACTAAGGACAAGGATTGTTTTTTTTTTTCATTTGAGTCACTTGGAGAATAGGAAAAGGAACCACTGCAGGAGGCAAGATGACGCAGACAAGAGACACACAGGAGCAGAAATTCAGACTCTAGAAATGACCAGGGAAACAGGAGCCCCGGACCTAGGCCGATAGGGATTAAGGCCGGGTTTTGTTCTTAGCTGCAGGGTATCCCTGCCATTAGTGGAAAAGGAGATAAAGGTAACAGTTGCACTCCACGTTTATTTTAAGTGAAATAAACTAGCACAGAAAGTAGACTGTGACTTTACTTTTAAAATGTGTATATGTGTGTTTTAGGTCATGAGATAAAATATGTGGGTCACAGTCAAAGAAAAAAGTTTGAAAGCCTGGACAAGAGGCTTAAGTCAAACTTCTAGGTTGTACTGGGGGTACCGAAGAGAAAGCATAGGGAGAATATTTCACCAAGAAGGAGATAGTTTTAAGTGAGGTCTTACAGGCACTGCAGGAGAAGGTGAAGGACATTCCAGGGGAAGTGTGTAAGAGGCATTTCCAGGGAGCAGCAGGAGGTCCATGAGGATGGAACCTCACGTGGGTGGGGAGGGATGGCAACCAGAGGAAGGTGAATTGAAGCTCCATTGTGAAGGGTCTTACACATCAGCAGTGGGCAGGTTGTACTTCATTTTGCAGGCTGAGAAAGCTTTTTTAAAAAGATAACCCTGGTGTCTGGTTTCCCTTGAAGCCCACAGAGCATACGATCATGGTACCATTTACTGAGCATACCCAGTGGGTCGGCATTGAACTTCTCCATATGCATTAGCTCAGGTACTGATTAGCACAATAACCACGAATATGGTAGGTATTATCATTATCCTCATTTGACAGATGAGCAAACTAAGGCTCAGACTTTAAGTTGCTGCAGGTTATTCCCGCATCTATCAAGTTCAGGGGGTGGGCAGGTCTGTCTAACCAATTCCCCATGACCATTTCATAAAGATGGAGCCTCTGGAGGGGTCAACAGCAGTCCACTCAGCTGGCTAGTGACCAAAGGCAGAGGATACTGGCTCCCACTCTGCTGCTTATGCCTCAGGCCCAAGAAGATCACTTTTTATACCCCTGGGAGGCAGAGAAAATGGTAGGTGGGGGTTGGGGAGCAAGGTCAGCACCGAAACTCTCTCCCCTTTCATCAACTCTTCCTCTCTCTGTCTTATCCTTTCTCCATTTAGTACACCAGCCTTCTTATGTCCCTGCTTCTTTATAACACAGGGATAATATTGTTACCATTTATGGGGAATATAATGACAATTCCAGAAATTTTTTTAAGACTTTGAGAATAAGCTACTATTATTGAGGAGTTCATTTTTTCTTTTTCCTTTCTTTTTGTTTTTTTATTTGCAATGTAGGACACAGTGTTACAAATAAATTTCCCAGAGTCAGCTGCCTTCTGTTATGCTTATTTTTATTATTTACATATGGAGACAATGAGGCACTAGGTAATTAAAGTCAAATGGCAAACTACCTACGGTCTAGCTCAGTTCTTTTTTCATTAAACACACTATTTCCCTCCTGTCTGATCTCAAACGCCAGCCTCAGAAGTAGGTAGATCAGGAAACTACCTACTTAAAGATTTGAAAGATGCTAAGTAGTCTTTATCTAAAAATGTCTCCCTCACATGTAATTCTAATTCTACACACTCCCCAGTAGCTTCTGTGAAACAATACATCCTTTCCAACTCACTTAAGGTGTGAGGTTCCAGAGAGGGTAATTATTTATCAGTTAACTAATTAGTCTGTCACAGAAGCCACCTGCCTCCAATATCCTACAGAACCAAGGAGAGGCCTGAAGAATGACAGCCAGGATGGTATGATTTGATGGGTTAAGGACCAGAACTTATTTAAGGGACTTTATTTAAGATAAAGAAGATGATCAAATCTATGAACAATAAAATGGGTAATAAATACTAATCTATCAACAAATGAATCTAAAAAACAAACTAAGGAAACAAGAAGAACAGAGACAGAATCATGGATGCAGAGGGCATTTTGACAGTTGCCAGATGGGAGGGGAGTGTGGAGGAATGAGTGAAGAGGTGGGGGGATTAAGAAGTACAAATAGGTAGTTACAGAATAGGGAGGGGATGTAAAGTACAGTACGGGAAATGGAGTAGCCAAAGAACTTACACACATGACCCGTGGACAGGAACAAAGTTGTGGGGACTGCCTGAGGGAGTGGGGGTGCCAGGTGGTGGGGGCAAAGGAGGAAAAATTGGACAACTGTAATAGCATCATCAGTAGAATATAATTTAAAAATATGTTTGTATAACGAAAGAGGAGGCAAAAATAAATAAAGACAGAGACGGGAAGAAGGGAGGGAAGGAAGGAAAAAAAGCCTGAATGGCCTTGTTAGGACCCACTCCTGTTCTCTTAGTTCTGCGTATGCACCTACCTAGAATTCTCATCTCGGCATCTTCGAGTCTCCAGTTTTTCAGCCCAAGTTTGACGAGTTGCGGGGCCCGCTCCAGCTGTTCCAGCAGCCTGGTCAGACTGACTCGGACATCACGCCACCAGGGCAGCCTCAGTACACTTAGCTGTTCCAAGACATGCAGCCTGTCAACTTGAAGGACCAGAGACCAGTTCAAGACTTGGATCCATCACAAAATGTATGAAGGATGAAGACATATGGGAGAGAAATGGTCTTTCTCTCTGCAGCCTACTCAGTGTGTAATGAGAATTGACTTAGTTTTTGAGTTGTGTTTTATGGTAAGTGTCCAAGAATATACAAACATGCAGGATAGTTTAATGAAACTGCGTAAGCCGACTTTCAACAAACATCAAATCATGGACAGTCTTGCTTCATCCTTGCCAAATTCCTTCCCTCCTGTATAACTAAATCAAATCTCAGACAGTAAGTGGTAATTTTTTTCTCACATAATCACAATATTGTTGTCATACCTTAAAAATCTTATTACTACTCCTTAAGCAAGGTTGTCTCAAACAGCACCTACTCTCAGGCGCTAGTTCCCTAGAAGGAGACAAGCAGGAGGCAGCCTCGGGTGCAGTGAGCACGTGAAAACTGGTGCCTCGGGGGCCCTGTGCCTGTGCTTTGTAAGTACAGGTTAAGAAAGGGCTACATGACTTCCTTAAGGCACAGCTAATGAGGCACAATTGTCATTCTTACTCAGTTCCTGTAGGGCTTCGTTTCCATCCTTTTCCAGGTGATTTTCAGATAAATCAAGAATGCTGAGTTTGGCCAAATTGTGAAGATTCTGAGCTGCAAAAAAATTTTTAATCCAAAATAAAAAGACCATCAGGGAACTATATATGCATTTTTAAATATCCCTATAAGAGTTCTGAGCCCTTGTCGTCTTTGTTGATAGAGTACAAATCATTATTTGATTTGACTAATTTTGATTTGATTAATCCCAATTGTATTTGAATAGGTTTAACCACCAACTGCCACGACTGTGACCAAATGGACAGCTATTTCAAGGCCCTAAATTCCGACTAATACACTTCAGCTTAACATAAAGCCTAGAGCAGCATCAAGTATAATTACGTCACTATGGGAAGGCACTCCATTTCTCTGAGCCTCAGTGTCTCCATCTTTAAGATGAGGAAGATGAACTAGATAAACTGGGAGGTTACCTCCAATTCTTAAATGCTCTTATGCAGGAGAAACAAAGGAACAAACACCAACCAGATGGGAGGAGCTGTTCTTTGTGTACCCAGGTGTAGATGGTTGTGTTAACGTTATAGTTATGACGGTAATAACAATAATAAGGACATTAGCTGTAAAATGCCATCACTCCAGCTATGAACTGTTTGGCTCTTTTTCTTCATTGCAGTTACAGGTATTCTCCTCTTTCCAAAGTTCAGTATGTTATTTCACTGTTACAAAATGACCTACATTATCAGTACCATTTTTGCTAACTGTAAGGAATCCAAAGAGGATTTCACTTTTACAAAAAAGACAAAAAGAAAAAATAGCACTCAACGTTTGTTTTGCCGGGAGCCTTATAGCGAGGCAGCCAGAGTGGCCCCCCGCCAAGTTCCTTCCTGGGATCTACACTCAGCATCTCAGCATCTCGCTGCCAGAGCTTTAATCTGTGTCTGCGAGCATCTGTACTTTATCTTGATTTATTGTGCGTCTCCTAGCAACTGCATCCTAAGGTATAAGAAAAGCGTGAGGGAGGTCGAAATTTTTCCAATTAAAATTAATGGCAATTGCCTATTTGCTTAATGCCCTTTTAGTTTATGAAAGTTTTCATAGAAACACTCTATTTTCTGATAGTGGGGACACCTGCATTTCTCATGGTTGCTTAATGTAATTGACGTTTTCCCTGTAAAGACTGATTAGAGACCTGGCTGATGTGGCTCAGTGGTTGGGTGTGGTCCTGCAAACCATAAGGGCACAATTTCCGGTCAGGGCACATGCCTGGGGTGCATGCCAGGTCTCCAGTACGAGAAGCAAACAATCACACATTGATGTTTTCTCCCTCCCTCTCTCTAAAAATAAAATAAAAATTTAAAGACTCATTAGAAAAATCTTCTTTAAAAATTAGTCAAGTTTTTCATGAATACACACTCTTGTTATATTAGCTATTATTATTTTTATCAATCTTATGAATCCTTTTCTTAGAGTAAGTATCTTCTACAATTTGGTGCTTTAATATAAAAAACCTACAGAACTCTTAAAGAGGGGAGAGTTGCTATTGCCATCTTAGGCTTAGTTGTGAAGCCATCTCCTCCCAGTGGCAGGTAAAGAAGTAAAGGAGTGTTCTCATCATTCTCCTGCTCCCAGGGCTTCTCTTGCCCCTTCTAATCATGGGTTTCTCTAGCTTTTGGTTCATGTTAGCATATGAGTAATCTCAGTAATTCTTACGGACTCCCAGCAGTTTTATATTCTGTTTTTAAAAGGGCTGTACCATTTCCCCCCCAAATCTAAATTTACAGAACATCTGAATTGAACATATCCAGTTTATCAAGTAATATGCAAAGGGTTTTTTTTTCTTTTTTATGCACACTCTTTAGGAACTCAGAAGACTCGACTCCTATATTCATGCACGGTAACTATCTTAACAGGGCGGTCAGTAAGAACTGGAAGCCTGAGAACATTTGAGGAAATCCCTCTCCCTCTGCTTCTCTATCATTTATTTATCCATTCTCCCAAATATTTTTGAAAGCAGTTATTATACAACAGGACGTGTTTCAGACACCTACTTCTTATTTCTACCTCTTCATCTTCTCTAAAATTTATAACATATTCAATTATTCTGAAGTTCTCTATGATCCATCTATAATACATTTTCATTCCAGTCATGCAGAAGATCATTAAGAACAGACTAGATATTACCTAGAAGTCTTTATTATCATATTTTCCAGTTTCTCTAAAAATTAAATTTCTGCTTGAGAGACTTAGCATGCATTACCCTAGAAGCATGCCATGCTCTTCCACACTGTTCTCAGTTAATGCAGCAACAGTTACCTAGGGTTTTCACAGCATTTGCCGACAGACAGCAGGAGATTAATTGGATTTCTTCCAGGTCACTGGGTTCAGCTGACAAAGACTTTACTATGTAATCCATTCCCTCCCCAATGTCAGACAGGCGGGTCAAATGAAGTAAACACATATTCTTCAGGTTTGTCAGACCTTCCGCTGCAAAAAGATTGAAAGGAAATGCATGAGGATACCAAGTGAGATTGATTCAACCATAAACTAATGGACCAAAAAGAAGGCAACGAACAGGGGAGCACGGGGTGGGGGAGCTGGGATGGGACAAATAAACAAAAAACTGTACTTGAAAAATAACTAAATGAATTTTTTAAATTAAATTTTAAAAAAGGTAATGAACAATGGCACAGAGCCCTTGCCTTGCTCTTTCTGTGCAGACCTTGAGTTATTAAAAGCCTAAGAGAGTAGTTTTCCTTTCAACTACCACTTACTGATCTCCCGAGCCATACAAAGATCACTTATGTTGAGGTCTTCTCTTCACAGCATGAGAAAAACCATAGTAAATGTATAGTATTTTAATGGGTATCAATGTATACCTTTACCATAACGTTTTTCATAGGAATGCCTTCTGAATAAGCGCTGTTTCTTTAAACCCCTCAAAAATCTTAGAAGGGGTAAAGGCTGAATTCAGAGGGGCAGTGTGGGGGCTTCAGTCCTGGGTGTGCTGTTAGTCACTGTTCACAGCCTCAAGAGCCCTGCTTGTGTTTGCATGGTAGAGACCCACCCGATGCTCTGCAATGAAGGCCAAATGCAGTGCAGCATGCTCAGCCAGGAGAAAGATGTATACCTATAGCAACAGTACGATTGAACACATTCTAAAATGTCCCTTGGATTGATTGGGCGTACCTTTGTGTCATTAAAGTAATTCTTTATCTTGGTGGTACTCTAACCTAAAGGAAAGAAATATATACTGTTTTAATAGTAGCTACCTTGCAGAACTTTGGGAAGGTTGCTGATAATGTATGTAATGTATTTAGTGTGATGCCTGGCACAAAGTAAGTGAATTTAATGGTTGTCTTGGGAGTACACACAGCTTGGAGGTTGTGAACATGAGCTCTGCAGTCAGTTTGATTCCTGGATTCTGTACTTTATGATGGTATAAACGTGGGCAAGTTATTCAGCCTTTTAGCTGTGGTTGTAGGGATACTTACACCTATGTACCAGGACTATTGTGAGGACTGAATGAGAAGTGTGTAGAAGTGCTTGATACTGTGTCTAACCTGTTGCACAGCAGCTCTTGGAAGAATAATGAGTTTAGACTGGTTCAGTCAAGTCCAGACTTTGATTCTTTACTAACAAAACCAGATTTTCTCAGGTAGGTGTTTTTCTACCCTTTCTACCAATGGGTGAGAACTTGGGCTAGTTAATAAACTGTTGTAAGTTCCAGCAGCAATAAAATGAGAGTTAAACTAGATGCTCTTAGGCTCCTTCAAGCTCTGATATTCTGTGTAACTCATAGGCATGCCATAAATATTTGCTGAACACCGAATTGATTATTTTCACCTAGGCTATATAATGAAAAAAGGTCAGTTGTGTTTTAATGACAGGATAGGGTTCTCTTTAGACAAGCAGAATAAAAAAGAACAAGGCTGAGGAGCATCTAACTGAGGTCTCAAACAGGGCAGTGAAGGAGCCAATAAAATAAAGAGAAACAAAGATTTTCTTCCCTAGAAAGCTGTTGAAAAACAGCTTCAACAGGAAACTTCCCTGTCCTGGAAGGCAAAGCATGTGTTCTGCTCATTTTTGAAGTTTTCTTGATCCACATTTATTCTTGTTCCATTTCATTTTTTGATGTTTTATTTCATTATAAAACCACCATATAAACTTTTTAATATTACTCACATGCTTTAAATATAAATATAGCCAATAATTTATGAAGTTTTACTGAATTATGAAACCACAATTTAAACATTTACTTTGTCTTCAAGCTTTAAATACAGGCTGACTCAACCAGTCAGGAAAGTAAAACATATCATGGCTTCTATTCTCAAAAGGGTTATAATATAGTTATGTACAATTTACGTAAAAAGGTGCTGAAGGATTGGAATGGGAATGGAGAAAATGTCTAGGAAAACCAGTCTAGTCACAAATGCATAAACGCATTCTTGCCTTGCATAGACACAACCAGTGTCAAAGAGCCTTGAGTTAACTGTCCTTATCATCAAACTTACATTCATTTGAAAACTTAGGAAAAAAATCTCACCTAGTTTTATAGCATCTTCCTCATTCATCTTAATGTTATCCAGCATAAGCTTCACGAGGTTCTTCAAATTACCCAAGCTGTCAGTCAGACCACCTGCCAAAGGGAAAGAAATTGGACTGAGTTCAGTGTCATTTGCTACATTTCTATTACCAATTAAAATATTTTAATTGTGGAGAGTCACACGGTTTCAGCAGAGTGAGGACCCCCTCTTTCCCAGGCGAAAGGGAAAAACCACGCAGCTTTTCCAGAATGGAGATCCCTGCAGCCAGGGGAAGCTGAGATCCACAGAGAAGTGGCTTATGGAAGCTCACACAGAAGGTGTGGGAGATATCACTAACCAGACCCTCTGCACCTAAGAAACATCAGCCTGAAGAAAAAGATTAAGAAAAAGAAATAGACCTCTCGTCTAGTAAAGATGCAACATGTATCAGCTTTGCAGCTTTTTAACAGGAATTATCACTGATAGAGTCAAACACTGTGTTGGCTGAAGGTCTCCTAAGAAACACTGTGGATGAGAGGAGTCTGAAGGGCCTGAGAACGGTGTTTGAAGCTCTTTTGAAAAATCATCCTTCAAGTGAATAGCGTCAGAATTTTTGTCCCTACTATCTAATGCAATAACCATCTGCACCTGTGCCCCCTGTGAAAGCATCTGTTAATGTAGTTACTTTTAAAATAACCAATTGCTTACTTGAACTAATCAGATTGTGTTGATAGCTAAGGGCACTTTTATACTTCCCAAGTAGAATTTATGATCAGGTTAAAGAAAACCATTCCGGAGAGTCGGGAAGATGGCGTTGGAGTAAGAGGGAGCGGATTCTAGCTCCCGCACTCGTGGGTGAAAATCCTGGCAGATCTATAGAAAAGCAGCGCACTAATCCATCAGTTATCCAGCATTTGTGAAATTGAAAGAACAGAGACTCTGTTGGACGCTGAAACACCAGAAAGCGGCAGAGGTTGGCCAGGGGACCCAGACAAACACAGGAGCAGAAGGGATACACACCGCGCAGCGTGCCATGACGAGCACACAAGAGTTTTTAGGTCTGCGCCCAGTCCTCAGATCGGCTCCCGGCTTCCAGTCTCCCCCCCTCAGACTATCTGGAAGCCCGGGACGCTGAGGGGTCCTGGGAAAAGAGCTGAGACCCTCAACCCCCTCCCTTTCTGGCCAAGCAAGGTGGGGGGCCAGGAGAGACTTGTTTGATAGAGTTTACAGAGAGGGTGCGCAGGACAAAGGGCCCCAACCAAAGACTCTGTGGTTGCCAGCCCAGGAGAACTCAGAGGTGCAGCCTGGGGCTCTGAATCCGGTAGACTCAGCAGCCTGCTCTGCTTCATACCCAGCTTGGCAGCGAGCCCAGGATTGGGCAGAGGGTCTGGGGCCTCCCAAATGAACGGGGGCAGGCCTGTGCTCAATCCCGAGGGAACCAGGCAACTAGGCCGGTGCAGGTGCCTGCAAACACAGCAAACCAGACTATGGCAGTAACCCCTGGGAGGGGAGCGCTGCGAGAAAGTCCTAGCTCCCCATTGTAGGGAGCTGGGGGAGAGGCGCCAAGTGTCTGGATCCTGAGAGGGGCTGGCTGAAAAAAATCACAACAATCGACCCTCAGCCAACTGCAACCAGAAAAACCGGTTCGGCTAGTTTGAAGCCAACAAGTGACATTCCTTTTTCTGAGGTTGTTTTTGAGAGATTATTTTGGTGCGTTTTTTGTTTTTTGTTTTGTTTTGTTTTTTTACTTTATTTTATTTTTATTCTTTCTTTTTTTAATTTACCTTTCTCCCCTCTCCATTCCTTTTCTTTATCTTTTTGCTTTTTTAAGGTAATCTGTTATTTCTTTTAAACTTTATTACTGTTTCATCTTTCCATACTTTTGTCCTCTTTTCCCGGATTTCCTGTTTTATTTCTTTTTCTTTTCTTTCTAAACTTATTGCTCTTTCTTCCATTCCCCTACCATTTTTTTCTTTCTTCCTTTTATTTCTTTCCTTATCATTTCTTTCTTTTACCCTCAAGAGTCACAATCAACTTGAAAATATAAAAAGACCAGAGCTGGACCCATAGAAGAGGCCTCCCAATAGTAGAATCAGAGAGACAAATTGCACATTGTTGTAGGAGAGAAGCCACAAGTTGCTGCATATTTGAGTAGGTGGAAGCAGAGAACAACAGGATAACCAAAAGAGGCTGCACCATTGAAATTCACAGGCATTCCACCATAAAAGTTCATACCATGAACCCAGGGTGTCAAAACAGATTAATCTAAGAAGCTGAGGCTAACAAGAAGAGTCTCACAAACAATGGGAAGACAAAGAAACAATCCCCAAATGAAAGGAAAGGAGGAATCCTCAGAAAGAATGTTAGATGAAACAGAGGCAAGTCAACTATCAGATACTGAATTCAAAGCACTGGTGATCAGGAAGTTCAAAGAGCTCACAATCAGCTACCAGAAACTACAGGGAAGTTACAATGATCTCACTGTGAACTATATCAACATGAAAAAGGAAATGGAAATTATTAGCAAGGGCCAAGAGGAAATGAAGAATACAATTTCTGAATTAAAAAACACAGTGGAAAGCATTAAAAATAGGGTGGATGAAACAGAAGATCGGATTAGTGAATTGGAGGACAAAGTAGAAAGCATCTCACAGAAAGAACAGGAAAGGGAAAAGAGGCTCAGAAAGAATGAAGAGAGATTAAGAGAAATGCAAGACAATATGAAACGTAATAATATCCGAATAATAGGAATACCAGAAGGAGAAGAAGAAGAACAAGGGATAGAAAACATATTTGAAAGAGTAAAGAGAGAAAATTTCCCTAATTTGACAAAAGAAAAAGTCACACAAATCCAGGAATCTCACAGAGTCCCATTCAAGAGGAACCCAAAGAGGCCCACTTCAAGACACATCATCATTAAAATGGCAAACTTCCAAGACAAAGAGAGAATCTTAAAGGCAGCAAGGGAGAAAAAAGAAATAACATACAAGGGCGTCCCAATAAGGTTAGCCACTGACTTCTCAATGGAAACACTCCAAGCAAGAAGAGATTGGCAAGAAATATTCCAAGTAATGAGAAACAGAGGCCTACAACCAAGGCTACTTTACCCAGCAAGGCTCTCAATCAAGATAGAAGGCCAAATAAAGAGCTTCCAAGACAAAAGAAGTCTAAAAGAATTTGCTGCCACCAAGCCAGCACTACAAGAAATACTAAAAGGTCTGCTTTAAGGAAAGGAAGGAAAAGAGACAGACAGAGAGGAACACAGGTACAAAAATGGCAATGAATAAATACCTATCAATAATAACCTTAAATGTAAATGGATTAAATGCTCCAATCAAAAGACACAGAATAGCGTCATGGATAAGAAAGTATGACCCACACATATGCTGCCTACAAGAGACCCACCTCAGGACAAAAGACCATCACAGACTAAAAATCAAAGGCTGGAAACAAATTTTCCAAGCAAATGGACAAGAAAAAAAAGCTGGGGTAGCAATTCTCATATCAGACAAAATAGACTTCAAAAAAAGAGCCATAAAGAGTGACCCAGAAGGTCACTTCATAATACTCAAGGGAAGAATCCACCAAGAAGACATTAACATCATAAATATATATGCACCCAACATAGGAGCACCAAAATATATAAGGAAAATCTTAGAGGAATTCAAGAAAGATATAGACAGCAACACAATTATAGTGGGGGATTTTAACACCCCACTATCAAAAATGGACAGATCTTCCAAACAAAATATCAACAAAGACATTGCGGCATTAAACAACACCCTTGATGAAATGGACCTAACTGATATATACAGAGCTCTTCACCCCAAAGAAGCTAAATACACATTCTTTTCAAATGCACATGGAACATTCTCAAAGATAGATCACATGATAGGGCACAAAACAAGCCTCAACAAATTCAAGAATATTGAAATCATACCAAGCATTTTCTCTGACCATAAGGGACTGAAACTGGAAACCAACCCCAAAGGAAAAAACCCAAAACACCCAAAATCATGGAGACTGAACGGTATGCTATTAAACAATGAATGGGTCAAGAATGAAATTAGGGAAGAAATCAAAAAGTTTCTGGAAACAAATGAAAATGATCTCACAACAACCCAAAACTTATGGGATACAGCCAAGGCAGTCCTGAGAGGGAAGTTTATAGCAATACAGGCCTACCTAAAGAAAACAGAAACATTTCAAACAAATGAACTTACTCTACGCCTGCAAGAACTCGAGGAACAACAACAAAAACAGCCCAAAGCAAGTAGAAGGAAGGAAATAACTAAGATCAGAGCAGAACTAAATGACATAGAGACTAAAAGTACAATTCTAAAGATCAATGAATCCAGGAGTTGGTTCTTTGAAAAAATAAACAAAATAGACAAGCCTTTAAGTAGGCTCATCAAGAAAAGAAGGGAACGGACACAAATAAACACAATCAGAAATGAAAGAGGAGAGATTACAACTGATACCACAGAAATAGAGAGGATTGTAAGAAATTACTATGAAGAACTGTATGCCAAGAAATTTGAGAACCTAGGGGAAATGGACACATTTCTAGAAAAATATAATCTCCCAAAACTCAATGAAAAAGAAGTAGAACACCTGAATAGACCAATAACAGCAAAAGAAATTGAAGCAGTAATCAAAAAACTCCCATCACACAAAAGCCCTGGACCAGATGGATTCACAGGAGAATTCTACAAAGCATTTAAGGAAGAGCTAACCCCCATTCTTCACAGACTATTCCAAAAAATCCAAAAGGATGGAAAACTCCCCTAACTCCTTTTATGAAGCCAGCATCATCCTAATTCCAAAACCAGATAGAGATACAACAAAGAAAGAAAACTTCAGGCCAATATCGCTGATGAACATAGACGCTAAAATCCTCAACAAAATATTAGCAAATCGCATCCAACAATATATCCAAAAGATTATACACCCTGACCAAGTGGGATTCATCCCAGGGATGCAAGGATGGTTCAACATTCGCAAAACAGTAAATGTAATTCATCACATAAACAAAAGCAAAGACAAAAACCACATGATCATATCAATAGACGCAGAAAAAGCTTTCGATAAGGTACAACACCCATTTATGATA